ACCGATCCTTGTTGATGTATGAGGGGGCTGATTAGCCCTTAGCCAAAATCAATGCCCGATAATTGCTGGAGGATTTGTGAGGGCGCTAACTGGCCCTTCGACAAATTTACCCCATCGGGCTCCCGATGGGATAAATTTGTCGAAGGGCCAATTAGCACCCTCACAACGCGAGGAGTGGTAGTGTGAGGGCGCTAATTGGTTCTTCGCCAGATTCAGCGCGTGACGAGTGGTGCAGTCTGCTTGAGGGCCCTGATTGGTCCTTCACCGATTTTGCGGCTTGTGAGGTTGGTGGGGGCTGACGTGTTGGGGGCGCTGGTTGACCCCCGCCAACCACTTTGTGAGGGTGTTGCCTGCCTCCCCGAGTCCCGTCCCTTCAATTTCAATTTTGTCCCCTTCCCCTCGCGCCTTTCAAACTCGTTCGTGACCCATCCAAGTTTCGCCGAGTTTGCGACCTTGGCTTGGACCCCACCGTCCTTGGACCCGACCGACCAAGGTTCTCGGGAGTTGAGAATTGAATGTTTTTGTTTCCACTACGGCATGTGAAGTTACAATGGCAAAGCCCGGGGGAGTGTGTGAACAAGCAACCACTCGGCTGAAAATTTAGATATCGAATTTTGCTTCGTCTTGGAAATCACAAAACGAAAGCGCCTAGCGAGGGCCATGGAGACAACGTAATGCTCTACAGTATGCTCTTCCGCATGACAAACAAGTGACAGGACAAATTCAGTGTCCGATGCGACCACGACCCTGATGCGTCAGTGTCGAAATCGGTACCGACTATTGGAAATACCTCAAGGACTTAAGCGTTTCTGAAGTGTAACACCACACTCGAGGAAGATCGTAACGGGTACGCGAGTCAACGGAGGTTACACGAGGGGGAGGACAAAGAACACGAAAGGACTCGAAGGGTCGCAACCGGAGGTTGCGACTGACCGTTACAACTGCAAGGGTGGTAACCGAAGCGACAATCGAGTCGCTGTGCGACTCGATAACCGCTCTTCAACTGTATTCTACAACTGCTTTACTTTCCTACTTTCTATCTATTGTTGTATGCTTGTTCTTTTTAATCAATCACTTGTTCTCACATACTAGTACAAGGGTTCAACTACTCAACTTCCGCTGCACTACTCAAAGTCTCCTTTTTACAACTGGGACTTAGTCTCTGGAAAGATCCTAAGGGCATTTCATCAGCCCAATATGGTATGAGAGCTGGTCAGAGACCAAACCCCCAGCAACTACGCTCGATCTACAATCAACACACCAACGACTTCATTGATTACAAGTCATGGACAGCAAGGGCAAGAAAACCTCTACGGGCTCACCCAGTGCCCAAGACAATCAACCCGGCAACTCTGGACTGCACACTTCAGGACTGCAAACCGAGACCGGCGATGCTCAAGAAACAACAGGAAGAGCACCAGAAATGGTGACCCCATCACCCTCTTCAAGCGTGGATCCGAACCTTATGGAAAGGTTCTTCAGCTTCATGTCGCACTTCGACCAGCAGCAGCAGACAAGGACACCTGCGCATTCAACACAGAGCAACGGAGGAAACATGGGATTAGCGTCGATGAGCCTCGACAACTCATCGTTCGGGCGACACAATCAAGCGCCTACCTTTGCGCCTTATCACTCTTCACCGGGGACGTTCGAGTTCATGCCGCCCCGTGCCCAACCAACAGCAGCTGCATCACAACAGACACCAAACGAGATACTTAGTCTCTAGGCGCAGTTTTCACACGTAATCAAACTGCAGACATCCTCACCGTTCAACGGACACGACTTCTTTACCTGGAGCTTTGAGTTCGAGCTGCTGATGGAGGCTGCGCATCTCTTGGGATACTTCAACGGGTCCCTGCCATTTCCAAGCAATGGCACTGCAAAAGAGCAAGAAATTTTTACGTATCAATCGCTGTTGGCGTACACAGTCCTCCTGCGGAACCTGTCACCACAAGAGCAGCAAAGCATCAGAACGTATCGGAGCTATGGAAACTCCGCGGAACTCGCATGGCATTACCTCAAGTGTCTCTACTAAGCAAACGACAGCGTGACACAAAGCAGACTCATGCAGCAACTGACAACAATACAGATGAAGACCGGAGAAAAGGCGATGCAGTATATGAGTCGATGCCAGACACTCCACGACCGCCTGCTTCGGTGCGGAGGAACAATCACTGAAGAAAGCTTCGTGACGCTTGTCCTCGCTGGGCTCGGGCCAGAATGGATAACCACCCGCTCGCTCCTTTGCGCCCACGGACGAATCTCGGAGATGCACCTCTACGCCGAGCTCCATGCTGAACAACAGGAGATGGACCTATTTGAAGAAAGACAACCAAGGAAACAGCAACCGTTAGTCTTCTACACTCAACGAAGAAACGACAACAACTACAATCAACGCGGCAAGCAAGAACATTTTCAAGCATGGAAAATCCTCGACATACAAGACAAAAATACCGTGGCATCACGTGATGTGATCTTCTATGAACGACTGACGCTGCAGCATTACCTGGACAACGTCGCCAACACAGACGACCCCACCGACGGTGTCGCAGGCCTTCGCTCCTTCGCCGACCGTGCTGCCGAGACTGACGCAGCAGAAGAAGACGTACCTGGAGCTTCGGAAGCTGCCGGACCACTCCCTTACTGTTCCGTGCCTGTTCCACTCGACGAAGACTGTCCTCTCGATAGCAACAACCTCGACACCCTTTACCACTTCGCTCACCAAGGTTACGTTACACCTCACCCGGTCGACACAAATGTCTCAGAACGCATCGGCCCAAACTTCTTACCTGATCCAGAAGATGGTGACGAAGCAGCCTATTCGGGGAATGAAAATTCCCCTCGACACACACCGACGAGACTGCAAATACTCGGCTTATGGGTCTCCGTCCAGCATCCGCCGCCGCCGTCTCCACACGAGCCAACGACCCTGTCGCAAGCTCTGGGGGGGGAACACAAGGCGAAATGGAAAGAAGCAATGGAAAAGGAACTGAAAGCTCTGCAAGACCGAAATACATGGAAGCTGGTACCTGCAACGAACATCAACGGGAAGAACGTTCTCTCGGGAAAATGGGTGTACCGCATCAAGACCAATGCGGACGGCTCCATCGAACGATTCAAAGCTCGCTGGGTCGTATGAGGATTCGATCAACGATACGGAACCGACTACACAGAAACATTCGCCCCAGTCTCCCGTCACACCTCCTTGCGCATCCTACTCGCCGTCGCGGCCACGAAGAAACTACCACTGCGCCAGATCGATGTCGCAAATGCCTTCCTGTACGCACCTGTGGACGCCGAGATCTTCGTCGAGCACCCCCACGGATTCATAGACGACCCCACAAAAGTATGCCAGCTGATAAAATCCCTTTACGAGATCAAGCAAGCCCCGCGGCTTTGGCAGCAGCACCTTCACAGTCGCCTCGTCAAAATCGGATTCCTACAGCTGCCGCACGACCAAGGCATGTACCGACTACAGAAGGAAAGGGAATTTGTCCTACTCATCGTCTACGTCGACGACCTGCTCTACATCGGCTCCACTACCGACATCGCCACCTGGTTCGAAGGGGAGCTGAAAAAGGACTTGACACTCACGGTGTCTGACACCGTAACCCAGTACCTGGGTCTGAACGTCGTCGAAGACAACTCGGCGTTCTACCTATATGCTGGAAAATACGCCGGCGTTGTCGCGAAGAAATTCGGACTAACACCGACTACAGTCACGACTCCCTACCGCTACGGGAACAACAACGACACCTCCGCAAAACTCCCCGCGAAGCAAATCCAGGAGTATCAGCAAAAACTCGGCTGCCTACTATTCGCAGCAGTAACCTGCCGACCGGACCTATCTTACAGCGCGAGCCAACTGGCGACGCATCTAAAGCAGCCGGAACAAGAAGATCTCGAGGAATTAAATCGGGCACTACTCTACTTCGTCTCTACGCCGACGACCGGACTTACCTACAGTAAAGCAACGACATCGTCCGTACAACTGCTCGGATACGTCGACGCCGATCACGCGGGAGACAGGGAAAATCGACGATCAAGGACGGGCTACATCTACCGACTAGAGCCTATCGGGACTATCTCCTGCAGTCGAGCAAACAGGAACTAATCGCACTATCCTCGGCTGAAGCAGAATATATTGCCCTATGCATTGCGACCAAGGAAGGACTTTACCTGCGAGAGTTACTCGAGGAAGCAAAGATTGCGACCCTGCCTGTCTTCTCACTCCTCTGCGACAACCAATCTGCGATCAAAATCGCGAACAAGGACGGCTTCGCCAATCGAACCAAGCACATCGCTCTGCGGTACTTCTTCATCAAGGATGAAATCGCGAAGGGGAGACTTCAACTCAGTTACTGCCCTAAGACAGAAATGGTCGCAGACTACCTAACGAAGAAACTAGCGAAGGCAAAGTTCGATTACTGCATGCTGCTGACCGGGCAGACAAACGTCACCGGATCTGAACACGTCAGCACTCCAGAAACGAAGGGGAGTGTTGGAAATACCTCAAGGACTTAAGCGTTTTTGAAGTGTAACACCACACTCGAGGAAGATCGTAACGGGTACGCGAGTCAACGGAGGTTACACGAGGGGTTGGACAAAGAACACGAAAGGACTCGAAGGGTCGCAACCGGAGGTTGCGACTGACCGTTACAACTGCAAGGATGGTAACCGAAGCGACAATCGAGTCGCTGTGCGACTCGATAACCGCTCTTCAATTGTATTCTACAACTGCTTTACTTTCCTACTTTCTATCTATTGTTGTATGCTTGTTCTTTTTAATCAATCACTTATTCTCACATACTAATACAAGGGTTCAACTACTCAACTTCCGCTGCACTACTCAAAGTCTCATTTTTACAACTGGGACTTAGTCTCTGGAAAGATCCTAAGGGCATTTCATCAGCCCAATACCGACCCTGAAAAATCAGGGTTGTGTCCGGTACTAACCCTGACGGAAAGTTTTTTTTTTCAACCCGACCCTGATCAATCAGGTTGGTTCAAAACCAATCTGAGGGCATGCCTACAATTATATCTAATTAAATACATGTTAAACATTCTGTCCTCAAATATAACACCAGGGTGTTGTAGCCAAAACACGAAATAGAGCACCCACCCCCCTGATTTTGCATGAATTTTGTACTACACCCGGGGTGCTATATCCGAGGGATTACGGTAGTTGGTTGGTTGGATGGGTTTGGTTTGGTTTGGTTCGGATGAGTCACACAAGTCACTCTCGTCATCAATTGGTGGCACAACATAACATGTCAGGCTGAAGGCGGACTGAACCACGGGCTTGTGAGAGAGCATTGTCTTACACCTCGTGGGGCATGCTTTGCATTGCACGCGTGCAGGTGGCAGTTGCAGAGTCACAAAGTGAAGCATGCACACAACACAAGCAATCACCACACCGCCATACCACACGCTGCTTGCTAAGGCACGCCTGCCAGGTGCACATGCACAGGGCTGGATCACAGCACAGCACAGCACCATCCCTCCTCATCTTTCATCGCCCATTGTGGGTCAAGCCAGTGTGTGTTGTGATGGTTGCCGTGTGATGGTTGCCGTGTGATGGTTGGCATGTGATGTGATGTGAATGAATCAACGTGGTTCCCTTGTGCTGCCTCCCATTCCACTCACTTGTGGATCATGGCAAGCAGAGTGACAGGAGCCACAGCAGGTGTAGCAGGAGAAGACTGGACGACATGGCAGGGCTTTGCTGTGCCCACTGTTGCTGCTGTTGCTGCTGCTGCTGCTGCTGTGGGTGCTGGTGTGTGGATAGCTGCAGGGACGGCAGCAGGGCAGCAGATGAAGGTCACCTGAGAGATGGTGGAGGTGGTGGTGTGAGAAGCTTCCTCTGACGGAGATGGTGATGGTGATGGTGGTGATGCATTCTCCTGGGCAGACAGCCCCTTGTGACTGGAGTCTATTGGTAGGGTGAAAGGAGGAGGTGCCATTGGTGTGCTGTGGGTCCCGCAGCTGTGAAGCCATTCCTGCAGTAACAGAAAGAGGAGACGGGGGAGGGTCAGGGGGGAGAGGGGGAAGGGGAGGGGTGAGGTGGGAGAGGGGGAAGGGAAGGGGGGTTGAGAGGGAGGGAGAGATGGTTGAGAGGTCTTTGAGGAGAAAGAGGGCAGGAGGGGGGGGAAGGGGGGGGAGGGACTGGAAGCACGAGACAACGAGCAAGATAGACAGACAGACTCGCATGATGCAGGTTGCAACTAGTACGAGCAGGAGCCAATAAGAGCATCCACCTCAACGACACACTCCAGCCACTAGCACCCTCTCCTCCCTCCGGTGCCCTCATGGAATACCCCCTCCACATACATTCCCCGCGTGAGGAGTCTATTTTTGAGGCGCCTCAAAAATAGTCCCCCCTCCATATACATTCCCCAACAAACTATATTTCCAACCCACCTCATTCCCCAACACACCACATCTTCTCCCATCATCACCCCCTTCCCCCCCGTCCCCTCACACACGTACACACCCAAAAGGGCGCCCTGTGAGTTTTTTAGGCGCCTCAAAGGTTTTCCTGTCATCCCCCCACCTCTCCCCCCCCCCTTCACACACACACACCTGAAAGGGCGCCTTGTGAGCGTGCGGCAGGGCGGGCAGCAGCAGGAGGCCCGGCGCAAGGAGCGAGGGCGGGGCGGCGAGGAGCGCGGCGAGCGACGCGTTGCAGGCGAGCAGGCGCGAGGAGGAGGGGTCCAGGAGAGCAAAGCCCACACTCGCATGGTCGAACAGATGGCTGGGAGCAGAGGAAGAGGCGGGAAAAGCAACGCGCATGGGCGGGGGAGAGTATGGAGTTTTGGGACGTCTCAGGCACGTGCGTGCATGTGTGTGCATGGCCATGTGTGCGCAGCATGTGTCTGTATGCATGCATAAATGCATGGATGCAGCCATGCAGGCATGTGTCAGAGTTCAATTCCTACCTGACCCATTGCGCTGAGCTGGGGCAGCATGGGAGGCAGGCAGGTGAAGGGAGCGCGAGCAGAGAGGCCGAGCACGGCAGAAGGTGAGATGTGCAGTGGGCAAACGAGCAGGAAGAAGCGGAGGAGGAAGAGGAAGCAGGGAGGAGGTGAGTGGGGTGTTCGTCAACAACTGCTGTGGCGGCGCAGGTGGTGCTGCTGGTACTGGTGGTTGCAGCACCCGTGCCTTGCCTGTCAATCTCCTCATCTCTAGACTGCCAACCCACATCACCCACATCACCTCCTTGCACGCCCTCCTTCTCCACCATATCCTCTCCCCCTTCCTCCACAGATTGCACAGCACCACCCTCCTCTCTCTCCTTACAACCCTCCCTGTGCCCCAACGCATCTCCCCCATCCAATTCCTCCCCTCCCTCCTCCCCATAGTCCTCCTTTGACGCCGTCCCCTGCTGCTTCACTGCTCTAATGGCTCCACCAACTGGCACCACGTCTTCTTCCCCCGCCTCTTCTCGCCCCACGACCTCTCCGCCCTCGCCATTCTCTTCTCTCTCACCATCCTCCTTCCCCTCCCCACTGCCCTCCCCCACATCATACTGAGAATCATACCTGCCATCCTGCGTCTCACACCTGCGCGAATCACTTGCTTCCTCAACACTTCTCTCCCCCTCCTCCACCCGCTTTCCCTCCTCCCTCTCCTCTCCTCCCTCCACTCTCTCCCCCACTCCCTCTTCCGGCTCGCTCCCATCCCCTCTACCACGCTCCTCACTCCGCTGCTCAGAGCACCACTCCTCATCCTCCCTCCCGCCCTCCCTCCCATCCCCCCTCCCATCCCCCTCCCTCCCCCCCTCCCATCCTCCCTTCCATCCTCCTCCTCCTCCTCCCCTCTCACCGCCCTCCTCTCCCCCTCCTCCTCCTCATCCCAGTGCTCCACCACACTCCACGCCCCCTCCTCACCCTCCAACCGCTCCTCCCCATCCCCATCCCCATCCCCCTTCCATGATCCACACCCCTCCACTCCGTCTTCCCTCCTTAAATACCCACCTTCCTCCCGACCCTCCTCCCCCTCCATCCCTTCATACTCACCTCCAGCCTTATCCAAATCCCTCTCCTCTTCCTTCCCTCCGCCGCCCCTCCTGGATCCACCTACCCGGCCCGCACTACCCACCCCCTCACCACCCCCCTCATGCCTACCACTCCCCTCCGGCAACTTCCTTAGCCCATGCCCGTGCCCATGCCCATGCCCCGGCCTCGTCCTGCTCCCTGAATCTCTGTACTCCCCCCTTCCCGCTCCTCCTTTCCCCCCACCGCCACCATCCCTCCCAACCTGCCCCCTATACTCCTCCCCGCCTTCCCCTCCCCCGCCCCCGTCCTCTCCCTCGTCCTCCCCCTCCTCTCCCTCGTCCTCCCCCTCCTCTCCCTCGTCCTCCCCCTCCCCTCCCTCTCCATCCTCCTCGCCCCCGTCCTTGTCCCCACTGCTACCCCCCTCGCCGGGTTCTGGGTCTTGGCCGGGCAGCGGGGGCAGGATGAGGCGGTTGAGTTCCTGCTCCATCTGCACCATCTGCGAGTCCAGCCACATCAGCTCACTCGCCAGCATCGCCCGCTGCTTCTCACTCTGCTCCTTCTCCTTCTCCTTGACCTTCCCTTTTCCTTTCATCGCTTTGGAAAGAGGAGCAACCAAGCCTCCTCCTACTCCTCCCCCCCCCTTCCCCCTCCTCCTTTCCCTCGGCCTACCCACCCATTTGGCGGGGTTCTTGACCCCTCCCCTCCTCTCCCCTTCCCCCCTCGCACGCTCCCCGTTCTCCACCCAAACACCCCCCCTCTTCCTCCACTCTCTCCACCCACCCCTCCCCCTTCCCATCCCCCACCAATTGACACACTCCCTCCCACACCCGCGCCTTCCCACACCCCCCTTCCCGCACTCGCCCCATCCACCAGCCGATACCCGCTGTCCTCCATCACCCACCCCGCTCCGCGCTCCCCTCTCTCCCTCGCCCACTCCCGCCCACTGCCCCAGCTCCCGGCCCTGCCATGCGACTCATGCACTGCCACTCTCCCTCCAGAGCCCTCCAGGTCGCCCGCAGAGGACTTCATATGCAGAGTTGCCGTGCGCTCCCAGATAAACCCTTCCTCAGCACTGCCTGCTGCTCCCATCATGCCGCCTGGCCCGCTGGAGGATGACCGCCCCACTTGCCGACTGCTCCCTCCGCCTCCCAGTGCCGCTCCCAGCCCAAACATCAACCCGCCGCTCCGTCTCCCCCCTCCTCCCCCTCCTCCCCCGCCCCCGCCCCGTCCTCCTGACCCCCAGGCCCCTCCATGCCCCATCTCTCCTTCCCTCACGTCCCTCCCCTCCCTCCCTCCCCGTCGTGACCTCTCCCCGTCCTCCCGCCCAAATTTCCTCCCCCACCCCAACCACCTGCTGCTGCTACTGCCCTTTCCGCCAGAAGCTACCCTGCCCCACTTCCCCTCCCCCCTCCCTCGCTGCATACTCCCCCCTCGTGCCATCCCCCCCCTCTGATCCTGCTCCTGCTGCCACTGCTCCCGGCGCTCCTGCTGCCACTCGTTCTGCCCTTCCTCCCCGTTCAGATAACCCTCGTCATACGCCATCTCATCCTCCTCCTCCCACGTCTCCTCCTGCTGCCCCCACCCGCTCTCGTCCTCCCTCTCGCCCCACCCCGTGCGCCCCTCTCGCCCCCACGCTCTGCGAGACGCCACAGCGAGCTCTGAGGCGTCGGCAGTGTAGGAGCGGAGGAAGCGCGGCGAGGAGAGGTCCAGAGGCCGGTGGGCGGACGTGGGGGTGCGCGCCGGGGTGTGAGCGTAGGGGCTGGGGTTGTGGAGTGGGGTGGTGGTGACGGTGGAGGAGGAGGAGGAGGAGGCCGGGGGGAAAGCAGCTGGTGGTAGAGCGAGAGGCGCATCTGAAACTGTGAAACCAGCACCAGCACCAGCACCAGCACCAGCACCAGCACCAGCACCAGCACCACCTGCAGCGGGACGGATGCCAAGCGGAAGTGTGGGGAATTTTTGAAAGCTGGAGGACGGATCCATGCCAGCACCAGCACCAGCACCACCAGCACCCGCACCACTGAACCCTCCTCTCCCGCCTCTTTCGGTGTTGGAAACTCCCACCCTGCCTCTCCCTGCGTCCCTCTCGTCCTCCTCAGCCTCACACAACACCATGCTGCGGTGGGGGGACAGTGAGGGTTTGGGCGACGTGCTGTGGCTGGGGATGCGACCCGTCAGGCTGGACGACTTGGGGAAGAACGCCCGCGCTCTGGGGGCAACAGCCCGTGCTGCCACAACAGCTGCAGCACCCGTAGCACTGGCAGAACCAGCACCCGCACCAGCTGCAGCAGCAGAAGCAGAAGCAGTGGAAGCGGCAGCAGAAGCAAGAGCAGGCCTGACAGGACTTGCAGAGGCAGCAGGCCCAGCAGGCAGAGCAGGCACAGCAGAGGTCATTGCTGATACAGCACGGCCAAACCTTGCCGCTGCTGTTGGTGCTGCCACTGGAATTGCAGCAACTGGCAAAGCTGCTGCTGCTGCTGCTGCTCTAGCTGTTGCTCCTTTTGCTGTTCCTGCTGCCGCGGATGCTGCCACCGCCACAGCGGTCCCATGCAGTGCTTCTGTGTTGCCACCTGCTGCCACCGCTACAGCCACAGCCCTCCCCTCTCGTGCGCCCCTGCTCCCTCCCCCTTCCCGCTCCCTCACACCTGCTCGCTGTCCCACAGACTTCAAGGCACCTCCTGACTCTGCCTCTGGTACCTCGTCACACCTTTCAGCGCTGCTCTTTCCACCTTCTCCGCCCGCTGCCGCTGCCACCGCTGCCACGCCTGCCTCCGCTGCTGCTGCTCCCTCACCTTGCACCAACCCCTCTCCAAGCGCCCTGGAGCGGTCCTTGGGACTCAGAAGCGCCTTGAGAGCCAGCAGGCCCCCTCGCGGACTCAGCAAGGGCCCCCGGCTGCTGTGGCCCGTGCCACCAGCAGCAGCAGAAGAAGTATCTGACATAGCAGCTGGATTGCCCAGCGGCCCCAACTTCGTTCCAGAATCTCTCTGCCTGGCGCTCACTCCGACAGTGGTATGGGGAGAGAAGAACGGCGCTGCTGCTGCTGCGGCTGCTGCCATTTCCCCAGCTCCCCCTGCTGCTCCACCGCCCCCTCCCCCCCGGCCATGGGAAAACCTGCCCGGTGTCTGCACCTGGAGGGGGGGCGCTCCCACTGCCACTCTCAGCTTCCCTAGTCGCCCCTCCACCCCCCTCCGCTCACTCAACCCGCCCCCCCTGCTGCGGGACGCGCCACCACCACCACACACCCCCTCTAGCTGCCGCTCCCTTTCATGTTCACCCCTGGGCCTGCTTCCTGTTCCCCCAACACCAGCAGGCCCCACAGAAGCGTCGGCATCAACGGTAGATGCAGCTACCCCAGTGGAAGCCTCCCCACCGGGCAACGCTGCTGCGAGTCCTGTGCTGGTCCCAACCCCTTCGAGTGTTGGGGTGTCCCATTCACCCTTCGCCACCACTCTGCCCCTCTCTGCAGCACCGGCTGTTGCCGCCCTTCTGAATGCCCTCTCCCCTCGCTCCGCCCTCCACGCTCCTCCACTTCCACACTCCTCGGAACCTCCTTCCCCTCCCCCAGCCCCCCCTCCTCCTCCTCCGCCTCCTCCACCTCCCCCTCCTCCTCCTGCCCCTCTCCCCTTTCCTCCCCCTCCTCCTCCTTTCTCGCCTCCTGTGGGCCTGCCACTCAGTCTACCAATCGACGCGACAGCAGCAGCTTGTGCCAGCCAGTCACCCTTCCTACTGCCACTGCCGCTGCTGCTGCAGCTGCTGCTTCTGCCTGAGGCATCAAACCCTAAACCCTCAGCATCTACTGTGGTACCACCAGCAGCACCAGCACCAGCACCAGCAGCAGCAGCAGCAGCAGCAGCAGAAGCAGCACTCAGCCGGACTCGGATGGGTGAAGCAATGCCGTCTCTAGCCGAGCCTCCAAACCCAGCCCTTCGAATGAGCCGCCTACCAGGAGTAAGAACCTCAGTCACATACCCATACCTCTCCCTCTCCCCCCCTCTCTCCCTCTCCTTCTCGCGCCTGTTGCTGCTGCTGCAGTTGCCCCATGCCCCCCGCGCGCCCCCAACGGCAGGAGTGGTGAGAGCCATGGAGTGTGCAGGAGGGTAGAGGGATGACGACAGGTGGGGGGGCAGGGGCAGGCAGTCAGGAGGAGCAGCGGGGGGCAGCAGGGCGTGGAACGTGGACACCTTACGCAGGGAACTGGCAGGGCTTGAAGGGGTGGCCTGGGAGGTACGGCTTGCTCCCTGTTGCTGCTGCTGCTGCTGGCTGGTCGTTTCGTTGGGCGAGTGCAGGGGGGCAGAGAAGGCCGATGGGGAAACCATGGGGCCCCCACACGCACCACCACTGTCAGCAGCACCGGTGCCAGCAGCAGACGCATCATTTAGGCGCAAAGAGGCGTCGTCCTTGAGTCTCAGAAACCCCGCTATCTTGTTTACCAGCTTCTTTGACAGCGGCTTGCTGCCACTCCGCCCTCCTCCCCCTCCCCCTCCCCCAGTCGACCAGCGCTCCCCCCCATCCTCCACAAACACGTGCAGGCTCGCCGCCCCGACCCCTGCAGTAGGGGCAGTTGAGGCGGCACCTGGATCAGCAGCAGTAGTCGTGGTGGTGGCGGAGGGGTTGTTAACGATGGCGAGTGTGGCGATGACGGCGCGAGTCTCGGGCACGAACTGGCACGGCTGCACCATCAGGTCCACCACCACGCCCGCCAGGTGACCGCCCCTCCCAAAGTCGCGCACGCGGAACCTGGGGTCCGGAAGGGGGCGTTAGGGGGGGCGTGAGGGGGGCGGGAACGGGGCGGGAGGGTAGCGTGAGAAGGGGTTATACTGGTGTGTGTACGAGGTACTCTACAACTGAGGTGATCCCCCAAATCGTTCCTTCAATGGAGCCAGCTTTGGTGTGCAATTGAATTCTCAAAATGGCCAGCCTGCATTGCATAGCTCCTAGCACCTGGCTGGTATATTCCCATCACCCGTGTGTAATGAGTCGATTTTTTAGTAGACTCAAAAATCGACTCATTATACACGGATATTCCCATCACCCCAACTCAGCATTCATTTCGGGAGCACTGTGCTGGGCTACATGGTACACGGCACACGGCACACCCATTATTCACTCCCCGCCTTTAACTCACTCCCCGCCCAGGTCCCCCCTCCTTCCCCCCACCCACCCACTTCCCCCATTGCCCACCACTCACCGCAGCACAGCAGCGCCGATCCCTGCCTTCCCCGCGCCGCCCACTGTGCCGAACACGTCAGCAATGGCCTCCTGCCACGTGTGCATCGTCAGGTCGCTCGTCAGGTCAAATAGCGACATCAGCCCCGCCACGCGCCCCCCCTCCCCCTCCTCTTTCCCCTCCCGCTCCCCCTCCGTTCCTTCCTCCCCCTCGCGCGCTTCCTCCTCGCGCAAGGCCTCCCCATTGCTCCCCCTCTCGTTGCAGTCGCTGCCTCTACTTCTCTCTCCACTCCCCTCTCCAGCGCCAGCCCCGTGGTTCTCCCCCCCCCTCCGCCTCCCCCGCTGGCGGCTCCCCCCGTCGTAAGCTGATCCGCGGAGCAACCCAGCGCGGCAACGGCGCCGCTACTCACGGCGACGACGAGCGCGCATTGCCGTTCCAGCAGCAGCATCATCGCGCGCGATTGCTGCACGAACCGCGCCGCGGGAGAGCTCGACAACGACGCGGCAATTGCGGCGGCGGCTGCGGAGACAGTCGGCCCGCCCGGGGCAGACGCGCGGCTGGCAGTGGCGGCGGCGGGACCGGCGAAACTCGCCGCTGAAGGGGAAACAGCCGGGGCGGTGGGGGAGATCCCTGCAGTGGGGGAAGGCTCGGGGGTGGGGGATTTGGAGCGCGCGACAGGGGGCTTCCGCGTGCTGGCGCCTGTGGGCGGACCCAGCGGGGTGGAGTGGCCAGACCGCAGGCGCTGATCCCGCGGACTCCTCCGCGGAGCCTTCCCTTCCCCCTGGCCGTCCGCGGACCCGGCGGAAGCGGCACCAGCGGCAGGGTTTGCAAGACCGAGCGCAGCTGTCGCGGAGGCGTGCGGTTGCGCGGTGGGCTCATTCGCAGTTTCCGCCTCTGCGCCTCGGGCGTCCAAGGGGCTGCTGCCATCGCTGCCATGGAAACCTACCCACGCGCCGCCGTCGTCCTCGCGGTCGCCCCCACATCCGTTCCCCGCGTTCCCCGCGCGCCCTTCGTCCCCTTGAACCCCCCCGTTCTCCGCCACCTTGCATTCCGCGCCGCCATCAGCCCTGGTATTCCCATAGCGCGCCCTCTGCGCCTGCACCCGCGCTTGCGCCTGTGCCTGCGCCTGCGGGTGCAGCATGATTGCATTGTCGGGGAGATCGGAGAGCGAGGGCGAGCGGATATAAGGCGAGGCGGAAAGAGCGGGGACGTCGGCCATGGGAGGGATGGCCAGGGCAGACGGAAATGCGGGAAGAATGAGGCGGTGAGTTATGGCCGACTGGGTAGGGTGGAGGAACTAGGGACGGATAGCGGAGTCAATTTCTATAATTCTAAAAAAAACCAGCATGCACGCAGTAAGCGGTGACTAATTCGCCGGTGCACTGCAGGCCTTTTGAGTCGACTCAAAAGTCACCTTGGTGCGCTGCAGGCCTTGCTTTTAGTTCTTCGTCGCGCGGGCACAGCCGTCAACAGCGCGGTCTGTCGTCACGGTGACACGGCGTCTGTGTCTCTGTGTGTCGTGAATCCCTGTTCGCCCGACGGCATTCCGTGTAAGTCCGTCCGTCCGTCCGTCCGTCCGTCCGTCCGTCCGTCTGTCTATCCGTCCGTCCGTGCGTGCGTGCGTGCGTGCGTGCGTGGGTACGTGCCGTCGTCCTGCCTGTGCTACCGCCTGTGCTCCGGCTACTATGCGCAGGAGAGAGGCGCGAGCCGGAGGATAGCACAGGATAGGGATTACATCAATGGCGGGACGAACGGCTTAGGCGGTCGACGCGCCTAGTGCGCGGCAGACCCGGTGCCTCACAACACAAGGACCATCGCTTGCATGCTTCTACTTCACGTGACTAGCAGTAGCATTTCCTGTCATCTGTTCTCATGTGCCTCTGACTCTGACGCCACAGCAGCAGAACAGCAAGAGTCGTCACGTCACGGCTAGACTCAAGAAGATGTGTCTAGTGTATCCCTCCTGTTTTGTGGTCCCTTTAGCGCCATAGCAACAGTGGGCTTGCCACTTGCAGTGGAGTGAGGGAGTCGCATTTGCTGTCTAGCTCGCAAAATCACGATGAGCACGAAACACTACCAAACGCATAACCATGGTGAACCTTACTGAAACGTACCAAAGGCTCTCTTACCGCATCCCAATCTCCTTGAGGATTGTTTTTGGCCAAATCAGCGGAATGTCCCAAGGGTGTCGCTGGAATGTCCCAAGGGTGTCGTACATGTTCATTTTAGCACAGTTGAGCACGTCTTTGTGCGTTTTACAGCAAATAATATATTTCAAACTACGGTCTGGTAGGGTAAAGAGGTCAGATAAACTCTTGCTGACTCGCGCGGTGAATCTTGCAGGCTTTGGAACGGTTGAGTGAGATGCTTCGACGACATGACACCAAGCCCTAAAACTTTAGAGCTCGATAGATAAAGTACCTGTATTGATGGGTGTATATATACAGTACAATATACAGTGAAGCAGTGGTGGATGGGTCCTTGTCAGGGCCTATTTTTCAAGGGTTGTTGCCCTGAATTTGAGTCAAATAAAGAGTATTTTTCCAGCTGGATCCACAAATTAAGGGTTGGATTTTTATGAACCGGGGTATTAAAGGTTTATGCAGAGTGTAGCCTTAGATTTTAAGGATATATATTTTCCTACCCCGAGTGTCTACTAGTGCTGGTTGGGCTACAGGGGGCACTCCTTAAGAGGAACAACTCCCTTTGAAGGTTTTCGTTGTTCTCCCCTCACCGCACGTAATCAAACCAACTGACTGGAGATAACTCCCTTAGAAGGTTTTCGATCTTCTCCCCTCACAGCACGTTACTCACCGTTTGTAGGCATTAACAGAGGGGAGACAATTTTCGTTCTTCTCCCCTCACAGCACGTTTCTCACACCTCGTAGTCACCAACAGAGGGGGGACAACTCCCTTAGTAGATTTTCATTCTTCTCCCCTCACAGCACGTTACTCACACCTCATTGTCACAAATAGAGGGGAGACAACTCACTTAGTGGATTTTCGTCATTCTTCCCTTACAGCCCCATGCACTTTACTCACGCCCTTTTCGTCTTGTCCATACATCTCCTGGTAGATTCTAACCGTGGCAGTGAAAAGGGTACTGTGAAAACGAACCCTAATGATTAAGGATTGCCTTCCGCTAGACCCTTAAAAGTAAGGGTAAACTTTCAAAAGGCCCGATTTTTTAAGGGTCACTAAAAACCAAAAGTAAGCCCTGGTCCTTGTCCCCGTCACAACAACAGACATCGTTCATGTTCCTTGCTCCTCTCTCCCCCCATCACCCCCACTCAATCAGGTGAGTTGTTGCTCTAAGCAAGTTGCGACACATGTCGGCACATGTGGGCCCTTTGTCCTCAAGCATGTTTGCTGTGGGTGCTCCGCTGCTACAGTTTCTGGTTCGGCGACAGAAGCAGAAAGGCCACAAAACCGCCCCCAATGGATGGTTTGGTTGGATGGCCCCTTTTCTGGACCAATCAAATCGCGAGATGCCTTTGTTTGGGTTGGGGGGCACACATGGACTCCGACTTGGGGGAACTGGGAAGAGCGCGGGACGGGGCAGAGCTGCAGTAGAGCAGGCCTCTCGATAACCTAGGGGTCACCCTGCAGAATCCGAGTTTGCCCGGTATCCAACTCGTCCAGGCTGGGTAGCCCTAAAACTTTTGACTGTTTTTGCAGGCCAGTGTTTCGACCAGCTCGGAGTGTGCCACTCCTGACAATGACAAGGGGGGGGGGGAAACTTTTCTAGGGGTGCGAACTCTACATTAGTTTTTACAGGGTAGTCCATCCCCTACTCGAAAATAGGCCGTGGGATGATTTTGGCTTGCCTGTCCATGGACGGATATCGACATTCTGAATGCGTCAAAAGCAGGGATAGTGCAAAAGTTTATTCTGTTTTCCTTGACAAAGCAGCGTAATTACCCTGACTTCCAGAGGCCTGCAGTAGGGCCAAGCCAAACCACCAGCTTTCGCGGTTGGAGAAAGCGAGCGATCCCTCCCTCCCCCGCCTGATGGGCTTTTCCCCGGCGCGAGTTCCGCGACTGATTCCTTTACTCGAGCGCAAATACGCGACAATGCCCCCACCCGCCAATACGCGATGGTGGACGTGACCTTTCCCGTTTTTGTGTGCAAAAATGCATCAGGTCCTACTCTTGCCTGCATTCCACAACACCATATTACAACCTATAACATCATACTAATGTCATTTGAAGCATAACCCTCACGAAGTGTACATTCTTTATTGCAAAACAATTAGAAGAGCATGTATAGCATGGTCTCCATATACCATAAGTATTCTAGTTTGGACTGCGTCCTGTGCAGACTCATCGCTTCAAGGATCCGTTCAACACCAAGAAGGCAACCTCGTGGCATGCGTCTGAGTGGACCGAGCCAGTTTCGGTTGCGGATTGATCACGCGGCAAAACGGGTGGATAGCGCATGAAGGAAAGGTGAGCCATTGTAGGCAGTGGTGCTGAGGAAGCGCACGAATTCTTGGCACTCAGGCCAGTAGCCTCCACAGCGGGTTCCACAGCAGAGTCAGGAGCTAAGTCGGCGCAGGCTGTGTGCTTGTTCATGGAACAGAACGGAGAAGCCAAGCACACGACGAGTGGGTCTAACTGGGTGTCTGGGGCCAGTTTGAGCCAATCCTGGAACACACCATGGGGGCCAAGGCAAGGGTTAGGGAGAGCAGGCCAAGTAGTGAGAAGATGAGCCACATCCACATTGTTCATTCAGCATCAATCCATGCACGGAGCCAATCTGAGAGGTGATTTTGGAGTCGACTAAAAAATAATTCACCATCAAACCATGCACGGAGCCAATTAGAGAGCCACGCACAACCTCATGCTCACAAGTGCCCCTCTAGTCCTGTGCTCCCTTTCCATGCCTCTCTTGTCCAGTTCTGGTCCTTCCTATGGAACGCTCTTCTCCCTCTCTGCCCTGGCTTCTCTCGTGCCCCGTCATCTCACCAGTAGAATTTTGAGTCGACTCGAAAGTCACCCTGGCTTCTCTCGTGCCCCATCATCTCACCAGGAAGTGCGACTTGGAGCAGGACTCCAGCGCAGAGAGCCAAGACGGCGTAGCAGCAGTGAGGGATGTGCCTGAAAGCGCTTCTTCTGTGCTACTCGTGCCGGTGGTGCAAGTGGTGGTGGTGGAGTGAGGGGCGGAATGAGGGGCGGAGTGAGGGGCGGAGTGAGGGGCGGGCGAGTTGAGGTGGAGGAGGGAGAGGAAGGCGTTGTTGCATGTGATGATGTCGCCACTGCCTGCTGACACCACTGCATACCCCACGCCCCCACGGTCCATCACATGCCTGCACCACATGCATGCACGCACGCACACAAGCACAGAGCACACGGGATGAGCACAGCACTGAGAGAAACTAACTGATCTGATACTGGGAGAAATGAGCGGGTTCTACTGGGAGGTCAAGAGATCACACGAGCCGACCAGGCGAGTGATGCACAGCACAGAAAGAACCAGCAAGAGCGAGCACAAAGAGACCAAGCACAAAGCAGCACCTGAACCCCCTCGCACGCGCGCGCAAGGCACCGTGCATAGTGCAACTACACTCTCCGTCCCCAAGGATATCGCCCACAGAAGACCGTCGCGCATCTTACCTCACACACTCATCCGTGCTGCCAAGGCACTGAGCTTGTGCCTGCACATCCCCTCTGCACATCCCCTCTGAGCTTGATCCATCTCCTCTGCTGCTGACCTCCCCATGCCCCATCCCCGCTACCTTCATCCACCCCTCGACCTCATCTCCAGTCTTGCCCCCACCACCATCCCCACCACCGCATCTCTCAGTCGCCCCCTCCTCCATCCTTCCCTGGCCCAATACTTCTTCCCCCTCCCCCTCATCTTCCATTTCCCCCTCTCCCTTGCCCTCCCTTGCCTCCCCTTCTGTCTCAACCCCCCCCAGCCTACTCTCCTTCCTCTCCGCGACTGCCGCATCATCCTTCTCCGCAGCTCGCTCTTCACTCTCCTCATGCACGAAAACCTCGCCCTCGCCCCCCCCCTTTCCTGTCCCGCTGTCATCACTGCACTCCACCACACCTAGCACCATCAGCTGCTTCTGCACGGCGGATAGCTGCTGCTCCAAAGCCCGGAGCTCTTGCTCCACCGCCCACTTCTCACTCCTCTCACTCCTCTCACTCCTCTCACTCCTCTCACTCCTCTCCCCTCCTGGCTCATCACACTCAAATCTCTCCACCTCAGCTTCTGCCTCCCCTCCTCCCTCCCCTCCTCCCTGCCCTCCTCCCTCCTTCAAGCCGATCCCGCTGATGCTGGGAAGGTTGTTCTCGTCAAAAACAGCTTGCTCCGCGCGTTCCTCCTGTTCCCCCTTCTCCGTTCCCCCAGCCTCAATCAGTGTCTCCTCTTCTTCTTCTGCTGCTCCTGCTGATTTTACTTCAGCAATGGGGGCAACAGCAGTGGGAGTGTCACCGGCTTTAGCGGGATCAACAGCAACTAGAGCCGCAACAGCAGTGGCATTAGGAGAACCTGCAGCATCAGCAGCAACAATAGCAGCACCAGGGACAGCACCAGGGGCAGCACCAGGGGCAGCACCAGGGGCAGCAGCAGCAGCAGCAGCAGCAGCACTCAACGCCACAGGCAGAGGGGAAAGCCTGTCCTCTTCCACCGCCTTCCCCTCCTCGCCCTCCTCCTCCCCTTCCTCCACCCACCTCCCCACCTCCCACCCCCTCCCATCCCCTCCCAGAGACAAGTTCGAGCTGAAACTAACATTCCCAAGACTTAGAGCCACTATGCTCGCCCCCAGGCTGCCACCAAAGCTGCTGCTTGCCATGCTGCTGCTCATGATGACGCCCCCGCCGAAGCTGCCATACCCACTGTCCACCAGCCCCCCCATGGCGCTGCTTCCGCCAGTGCCAGTGCCCGTGTTGGTGATGCTGATGCGCCGCCAGCTGAGCCGCCTTCCGGTGGCCGGCTTCCGTGTCTGCTTCTCACCACCAGCATCCGCTGCTGCTGCTGCTGCTGCTGCGGCAGCGGCTGCTGCGGCTCCTGCTGTTGATCCTGTACTGCCCTTCCGTCTCGTCCCCCCAGACTTTGACCGGCCAGCGCCTGCTGTGCGAGGCTTTCGTGCGGAGCTTTCATTCGTCCTCTCCTCCACTGCAACCCCAGCACTCCCTTCCCCCTCCTCCCTCACTCCCCTCCCATCAAATCTCACCTTCCCCCCTCCCTCTCTCCCCTCATCCCTTGCATCAGCTGCCTCTCCCTCCCCCCCTGCCACCTCCCCCCTTTCCATCTCACCTCCCTGGTCCACCAACTTTCGGGCCCCCCAACCTGTCTCCTCATCCCCCTCGCCCGCTCTCTCATCTACTCCCTCATACTGTTCATCTGCCATGGCGTCGCTTCTGGTGCGGCTCTCATCCTCATCATCGCTCCCACCAGCAGCGGCAGCAGCAACGCCAGCTGCAGCGCCACCAGCAGCGCCAGCAGCAGCAACAGCAACAGCAGCGGCGTCACCATCAAGATCCCCGCATGAATCCACCGCTGCTGCCGCCGCCGCCGCTGCTGCTGCTGCTGCTGCTGCTGCTGCTGCTGCTGCTGCTGCTCCTGGTGAAAATGCTGCTGCTGCTCCTGGTGAAAATCTCTCATCTTCTGCACCCCCAGCACTTTCTGCCACACCGCTAGAGGAGACCAGGAGAGCAGCAGCACCATCAGCACCAGCACCAGCACCATCAGCCGCAGCAGCAGCGGAGTCTGACCCTGAGAGTGCCGCGGCCCCTGATACTGCTCCTGCGCCCATTGCAGCATCTGCACCCACAGCCAGCACCTCTGAGCAAGGCAACGTGTCGGCCTCTCCCCGCGGCATGCCTGATGCCGCAGTTGCAGCTGCTGGAGGGCTGTCCTGAGAGAAAGTGGCGGGATGACTACGACTACGAGGCGGGGGTGTCACCACAGGGTCGACCACGGGGGGGAACAGGGGTGTGACTGTGGGTGTGGCCATGGTGGGGGCGACCGCCCCCTCCGGAGCTGTGTCTGTGCTTGCGTGCTCCACCAGGCGCTTTCCCGTCTGAATGCGTGGAGAGGAGAGGGCTTCTCCTGCAGCAGCTGCTGAGTCGTCGGTGGGCGTGGCGGGGCTGTCAGCAGGCGGGTGAGCAGCAGTTGCAGCATCCGGATAGGAATAGGCAGCTTCAGACTGAGGTGCAACAGCGCTGCTAGAGGCTGCAGCAGCAGCAGCAGCAGCATGTGCAGGGGCGTGCTCTGCGTCATCACCAGACGAGTCATCATCCCGTCCCATCCCCCTCGTCCCCACCACATCACAGCTCGTTGACCGCCTGGGCCGCATTGCCCCCCGCACTCCCGCCCGTCCCCTCTGCTCCTTTCCATGCCCCTCCACCACCGTACCACGTGCCTCCTTCCCCCACTCTACCCCCGCAACCCCCTCTCCTCCCTCCGCTCCTCCTTCCTCCCCTACCCACTGCTGCCTTTGCTCCTCCTCCCCTTTTCTTCCTCCTCCTCCTCCTCCTCCTCCTCCTCCTCCTCCTCCTCCTCCTCCTCCTCCTCCTCCTCCTCCTCCTCCTCCTCCTCCTCCTCCTCCTCCTCCTCCTCCTCCTCCTCCTCCTCCTCCTCCTCCTCCTCCTCCTCCTCCTCCTCCTCCTCCTCCTCCTCCTCCTCCTCCTCCTCCTCCTCCTCCTCCTCCTCCTCCTCCTCCTCCTCCTCCTCCTCCTCCTCCTCCTCCACTCACACCACCCTCTCCCTGCTCGTTCTCCTCCTCCTCCTCATCATCAGTAGCAGCAGCAGCAGCCACTTGGCTGGGAACCCGCATGCTCCTACTGCCGCGTGACCCCAGAGCCTTGAGGCCTCGCAGGCTGCCAATGCTGCTGCTGCCAGCCCCCAGGCTCACGCTGATCTCCTTTGCTGTGAAGAACCCGTGGCTCTTGCTCCGCCCGGCCCTTGGACCGCCCTTCTCCTGCTGCACCTGCCGCTCATGGCCCTGCTGCTGCTGCGGCTCCTGCTGCTCCTCCTCCTGCTCCTCATCAAAATCCCTGGAGTTATGGTGCAGGCCCGGGGGGGCGTATATCACCGAGTCTCCCACAGTTGACAAGCCCCGTCTGCCCTCGCTTGATCCTCGCATCAACATCCTCCTTCCGATTCTCCTGCCCCCCCCACTTGCTGCCCCCCCAGCCTCGCCCCTACTACTGCTGCCAGCACCGCTGCTAGGAACAGAGGTCGCAAGAGAGGACGCAGGAACAAAGCTGACTCCATCGCTGCTCCAAGCACCACCACCACTGCCACCACTGCCGCCCCCACTGCCAGACCTCTTCCTCCTGTCACCACTAGCGGCAGCAGCAGCAGTACCATCCCCAGCTCCCCGTTTGGCCCCTCCAGCGCCCCTCTCTTCCCCCGGCTTAAGCAGCGAGCTCACAGCATTGAGCCACCTGCTGCTGCCGCCGCCGCTCTTCTCATCTGTCTCCATCTCCATCCACGCATTGCCGTCGAAGTTGAGCCACACCAGCCACCCGTTGCCCTCCCTCCACACCCCTACCAGTGGCATCTGATTCTCCTCCTTCTCCTCCTCCTCCTCCTCCTCTCCTTTCTCCTCCTCCCCTTCCTTCTCTCCCTCCTCTTCCTCCTCCTCCTCCTCCTCCTCCTCCTCCTCCTCCTCCTCCTCCTCCTCCTCCTCCTCCTCCTCCTCCTCCTCGTCCTTCACCTCGTCCCCCTCCCCTGTCTCCTCTCCCTCCTCTCCTTCCTTCCCCCCTTTCCTTTCCTCTGTCTCAAGCTCCCGACTCTCTCCCTTCTTCCCTGAACCTTCTACGATCTTCCCACCCTCCCTCCCGCCATCCGCCACCTCTTCTTTCCAACTCCCACCGTCTGCCAGCCCCCCAGCCCCAACACCCACCGTGTCCTTCATTCCAAGCCCACCCTTCAACACACCACGTCCCTTCTCTCCCCCCTCCTCTCCGTCGTCCTTCCGTCCCTGCTCCTTGCCTTTGCACCCCTCCCCATCCCCCTCGCTGCACTCACCCCCCTCCTCCACTTCTCCCAGGATCTCTGCTAGAGAGGGGGGCCTTTCGGCTCCGCGCGGCGAGCGCTTGGGGGTGAGCAGCTTGCGAGGCAGCACGTGCCACTTCACACTGCCACCATTGTCGCTGCACGGGCTCGACTCATGGCTCCGCTGCTGCTGCTGCTGCTGCTGCTGGCGGGAATAGCTGGGCGTACTGCCGTCCTGTGAGGGCGTGGGCGTGTACATGCCGGGGCTGATCATGCTGCCGGCACTGCCCAGGCCCCCGTGCCTCCTCTCCCTGGGCGCATGACTCACAGCGAGGTTGCCAATCCGCGCTGCCATGCCCCGCCTCTCCCTCAGCCCTGCCACACCTGCCGCACCTGCCGCACCCGCCGCACCCGCCTCCCGCTCCAGGTGTGGGCCATCCTCGAGCCCCGCATCCTTATCCCTGCCCATTCTTTCTCTCGATGCTCCTCTTTCCCTCACATCTCCTCTTTCCTCCCCTCCTTTGTCACCCACGGCCCCTCTGGCGGTGCCTCCTGTGTTACTCCCTTCCGCCCCCAAACCATTCTCGGGATTCCCTGCACCTGTTGATCTGTTCCCTCCTGCGCCTCCTGCGCCTCCTGCTCCTCCCGCTCCTCCTCCCTCCCCTCCTGCATCGCCCTCCTCTCTTTTTCCCCCGGTTGGGTCCGCTGCAGTGGATGCTGTCTTCTTGACGGCCTCCTTCCTCTCACCCCCTGCCACGTTCCTTTGCCCCTCTGCCTCGCCCCCGCTCTCCCTCTCACTCACGCTACCACTACCGCCGCCCACCGCAAGGTCAGCTGCTCCCATGCCTGCTCCCTTGCATGCTCCCATGCCTGCCCCCTTGCATGCTCCCATGCCTGCTCCCTTGCATGCTCCCATGCCTGCTCCCTTGCATGCTCCCATGCCTGCTCCCTTGCATGCTCCCATGCCTGCCCCCTTGCATGCTCCCATGCCTGCTCCCTTGCATGCTTCCATGCCTGCTCCCTTGCATGCTCCACTTACCTCACCGCCATCTCGTCTCTCGCCCTCCTCCGCTTTACCTTGCACCCTGTGCACCCGATCCCCACACCCCTCCCACCCCTCCTGCCCTCCCTGCGCACTGTCCTCCCCTCCTGCCTTCCCCTCCCCAGCCACCCCCTCACCACGCTTTGCCTTCGAGCCTTCTTCACCCTCCACTCCCCCTCCTTCTCCCCCGCTCGCTCTGACATCCCCTGCTTCTCCCCTCTCTGCGTCTCCCCTCCCCACTGCTCCCTCCACCCCGCCACTGCTCCCGGCTCCTTCCTCCCCTGCATCCCCCGCCGCTCCCCCTGCTTCCCCCGCCGCTCCCCCTGCGCCCGCCCCTGCGCGCTCCGCCTCCACCCCTTCCTGCAAGCCGTCAGGGGGAATGGCAACCCGCAGATCCTTGCGCCTGCCCGACCCAAACGAGCCACACTTAGCCAGGGAAGGTGCGTTGCTGCTGCTGCTGCCCCTGTTGCCGCTGCTGCTGCTGTGCGCATTGCCGGCTGGGGCAACGCTCCCGTGCTCGCAGCTGTTGTTCCTCGAGATAGAGTGGAATATGGGAGGGATACTGGGTGCATTGCCGCCGCCGCCGCTGCTGCTGCAGTTGCCGGTGCCGGAATTGCTGCAGGGGGGAATGACAGCAGTGCCTGCAGTCAGAGCAGCAGGAACGTCATCAGCAGCAGCGTCAGGACTAGTGGTGACACCAGCACCACCGACACCAGCAGCACCAGCACTACCGAAACCAGCAGCAGCAGCAGCAGCAGGCGCAGCAGCAGAAGCAGCAGGAACGACAACAGCAGGGCTCGACAGAGCACCGGCGGCAGCAGCAGCTGCACCAATAAATCCCCCATCAAAGCTCCCGAAACTTCCCCAGCTGCCTCGCTTACCCCTCCCCAGAATCCCGTCCCACTCTGTCAGTGACCCCCCTCCGCTCCTGCTCTCCCTCCTAGACATCACCCTGAACCCCTTCCCTCCGGCTTTCTCCTCCTCCCTCCCTCCTCCACCCGACCCCACTTTCTCCGCTCCCCCTTTTTCTGCTGCCTTTTCTGTTGCTCTGTCTGCCCCAACCGTCGCTTCCTTGCCTTGTCGCCAGCCCCTACCTTCCCTGCTCTCCCGAGCCTGTCCCGAGCCAGGGTAGAGAGGTCCGGAGAACACGTCCTTCACTGACGGCAGGCCGAGCCTGCGCCCAGGCGTGGTGGCCTGGCGCCGCTCCGACCTCGGCGGCTCAAAGCCAGGCGGGCGGGAGAGGAACTTTGCGCTGAGAGGGCGGGGAATATCCGCCTTACTAGACGCGTCGGGTTGGAAAGAGAAGGCGGACGAGGCTGAGGAGCTGGCAGCAATGGCGGTGGAGGAGGGGGAGGGGGAGGAGGGTGGATAGGAGGAGGAGGAGGAGGAATGAGAGTTAAGGGAGATAGTGTTGTTGAAGCTGGGTAGCTTGAGCATGGAGCGAGGAGTCACTCCCCCACTGTTGGAAACAGAACCACCACCATCACCAGCAGCGGCACCACCAGAAGAGCCCTTGAACGCAAGCGGGCCAGACATGGCCCCTCGGCCTTTCAGCGAGAAGCCACTGCGAGGGGTTGTCGAGCCTCTGGGCGTGGTTTGGGCCGAGCCAGAGCCGTGAGGGGTGTTGATGGTGGGGAGCGGCGTCGACACCTGCATAGCTCCTGCTCCTCCTCCTCCCGACTCATCCTGAAACCCTAGCAGTACCGCGATCTTCTGCCGCATCTTCTTCCCACTCATCTTCACGCTGCCGGAACTGCTGCCACTGGGAAGAGAACCCCCCTCCGACACCCCATAGCCTGGCGCCTCCGCCGCTGCGTTACCGCTCCCGCTACCGCTGACGTTGCCGCTGCCGCTGCCGCCGCCACTGCTGCTGCTGCTAACGGAGGGGCCACAGTGCTGGTTGACTATGGCGAAGGTGCCGACGAGCGAGCGCGCATCGAGCGCGAACTGGCACGGCTGCAGCATGAGGTCCACCTGCCGCCCTTCCAGGTGCCCGCCCGTCCCCGAGTCGCGCACGTTGAACCGCAGCACCGCTGCGCCTCCCCCTCCGCTCGCCGCCACCGCGTCGCTCACGGCGCGCTGCCACTGCTCCGCGCTCACGTCGCCTGTCAAATCAAACAGCCCCTTGCACCCGCCCGCGCCCGCGCCTTGCGCGCTCTCCCCTTCCTCCGCCTGTCCGAGCGCCGTCAGCGCTGCGCGACTGGCGGCGAGCACTTCCGCGGACTGGCGGTCGAAGAGAAGCATCATGGCGCGCGACTGGCGCACGAACTGCAGCGCCATGGGGGACACCGGCGCGGCGGAAGGGGGGCAAGCGGATGCCGCGGACGCGGAGGCGGAGGCGGAGGCGGAGCGGTGGGGGGATAATGCAGGGACCGGGGGCTTGGGGGAAGGAGGCACTGTTGTCGCAGATGCGGGGGAAACGGGGGGTTTTACAGGAGGGAAGTCCAGTGGCGGTATCCGGGGAGGGGGAGAGACGACCGGCGGAGTGGGGGAGGCGGAAGCGGAACGGGCGCCAGGAGTAGAGCTGGCCATGCTATTCGCGTCGCCGCCAGCGGAAGCATCCGAAGCAGCAGCCGCGGCGGCGGCGGCAGCGGCGGCGGCTGGTGAGTGAGAAGCGGCAGGAAGGTCTGGGTACGGGGAAGCAGCAGAGGCACCATCGCTGGCGCTTTTGGCGCGCGAGACTCCGCCACCCGCCCAATTGTCGAGCGCAGATGCGACCTGCGCAGATACGACCTGCGCAAATGATGCCTCATTCCCATCCGCCATCTCGCCTGACCTGTTCGTTTCACCGTCGCGCGCCGAAGAAGGCAACCCAGCAGCAGCAGCGGACCCTCTGCTAGCGAGAATCGCGGCGGTCGCAGTCACGGAAAGAGGGCCATTGCTCCTACCCGCTGCAGGGGAAAGCGCCATGGTGGCGCTAGCACTAGCAGTGGCGCCGCCGCTGCCGCCGCCGCTGCAGCTGAGGCTGGGTGGGAGGGACGCTGGGATAGGTGCCGCATTTGACGCCGCGACGTGGGAGTGCGTGTGGGGGTACGAGGAGAGGGAGGAGGACGAGGAGGAGGACGGAGAGGGGATTTGAGAGGCGGCAAGCGCTGTGCTTTGACTGGCTGTCATGGGCAAGGTGCGAGGCGATAACGAGGAAGCTGGTAACGAGGACGGCGGGATCGAGGGTGACGACGAATTGGATGATGGGGAAGACAGACTGGCCCCGCTATTGTCACACCGTACTACCTGTCTGGGGCTATTGCTGCTGCGCTTTCGCGGAGACACCAGCTCCAGAGACCTCCGAGGGATGTGCAATGCTTTCAGCAAAAGGCTGCTGCCACGTGGGGTTTTCGGAGTGGGTGGCTGGCTGGAGGTATTACGTCCAGAGACGGTTTCGGATCGCCTACGGGGGGATGAGAGCGACACGAGGGAGCTAGGGCTGCGGGCAGTAGTAGCCGTGGGAGAAGACGGCGCAGCGGCGATGTCGTTAAACGCCAACTCGTGGTGGCCAGAGCTGGAACCCGCGTGACCGTCGCTACTGGTGGTTACAGCACCGCTCGCGGAGCTGCTAGTGGTTAATGAGCGATGGACCGTTCCGAAAGAAGGGAAGGGGAATCGGGATTCCGCCTTGCTAGCACTGCTCGAGCTGGCTGAGCTGGCGCATTTGCGAGGAAAGCTAGAGGAAAAGGATTGACGCGGTTTGCGGGTTGCTTCTTTCGAGCTCGGGATTCCGTGAGGGAAGCTGGTTTCGTGAGGAGGAGGATCCGTGGTGAAATCTGGAGGTCGACGAGGACACTTGCTTGTTGACGAATCTACGGGCGGAACATACTCCATGTCGACGGGCCAGCTCTCGCTTTAGTCTGACAGGTGGCACAAACGAGGTCACGTAACAGTACATGTACGAGTAGCTACTGCACTATGGGGTGGGAAAGGATGAATGGAGCTGGGCTGGGTGGTGGGCAGGGCCTATGTTTCAAGGGCTGCTGCCCTGAATTTGAGTCAAATAAAAGGCACTTCTCCAGCTGGCCCCACAAATAGAGGATAAAGTTTTTACGAGACCGGTCAATTCAAGGTTTATGCAGATTGCAACCCTCAGATTAGGGTGTATTTTTTCCACCCTGAGTGTATACTACTACTGCTGGTAGGGCTACAGGGGGATCTCCTTAGGGGAAACAACTCCCTGGGAAGATCTTGGTTGTTCTCCCCTCACAGCACGTACTCACACCTCGAAGTCACAAACAGAGGGGAGAAGACTCCCTTCGTATATTTTTGTTGTTCTTCCCTCACATCGCGTACTCACACCAAGTGACAAACAGAGGGGAGATACTCCCTTTAAAGATTTTTGTTCTCCCCTCACAGCACGTTACTCACACCTCGTAGTCAAACAGAGGGGAGACACCCCTTAATGGATTTTCGTACTCTCCCCTCACAGTCCCGTACATGTTACTCACACCCTTCTCGTAGTGCCCATACCTCTCCTGGTAGATTTTAACGGTGGAAATGAAGGGGTACTGTGTGAACAAGTCCTAATGATTCAGGGATGCCTTCCCCTGAATCTTGACAGTTGAGAGTAGAAGCTAAGGAAGCTATGAGAAACTAAAACCAAACGTAGAGGAGGCTGCTCATTTAGATGGCGTTCCTGCGAAGTTTGGACAGGACAACAGCAAAATTGTGTTTGGTGTATGACGTCACGAATGGTGGTTTCGCCACATCGACTTGCTGACGTGACGTCGCATGAAACAGCCGAACTTACGGTCGGAGGTCAAGCGTTTTTCGCAGCCAATACAATGGCGGCGACATTGCCTTGTGTAAGGTCAGAACTGACCACGTTACAGTGAACTACCCTGCAACCTCAAACCAGGGCTTATTTTTCACGGGTAACTATCCGGAGTTTTGCAAAATAACGGATGATTTTTCGTCCCATTCCGGATTCTAACGTGTTCGTTTTCCATGGAGCCGAATTCTGACGGGTTCGTTTTTAGCAGTATCCGTAAATTGACGTGTTCTCTTTGTGAATTACCCTGATTTGACGGGTGAACCTCTGGCACAAACGAAACTTAGCTCTAAAAAACCTCCATACCCCCCACCCTTCGACTTCCCCTCCCCCCCCCTTCTCTCCCCCCCCCCCCCCTCCTCTTCCCCGTGACCCTCCCATCCCCCCTCGCCACCTCCCTTTTCCCTCCAATAAAGACGAAATTACCTTAGATTGGATGGCGGTTCATCAGAGTGAGAACAGAAACATGCGTTTACATAAGGGAAATATGTGTGTTTCGACACACAGAACCTTTGAACTGGAACATTTTGACGCTACGAAAATCACCCGGATCTGACGTGCTGTTTTTGTTCCCAACTGGATTCTGACCTGTGACTTTTAAGGTATACCCGTGAGATCCGGGTTACCCATGAGGGGTATCCGGATCTGCCGTGTGGGCAAAAACTCAAAGGTAAGCCCTGCCCCAAACCCTAGCTTGTTTCGCGCCACTTGGGGCAAAACTTCTATTCCGTGGATCCACATGATTGGGGACACGAAAGATCTTATGGGCAGGTGCTAGAAGAACGTGCTCCTAACCTTGTGATTTACAAGGCTCGCCCTAGGTCGCAGAATGTCGTGGGCCCCTCTCGCAAGGACCGTGGCCGGTTGGTCCCACTTGTCTGAACTTCGTACCTCTTGTCACATCAAGAGCTGACGTGGTGTCCAAACCTGTCCAAATTTCAGGAACGGGATCTCAATCTCCCAAGACCAGGCCGGTCTCAATTGATTCGACTCGAGTCTTCCTTCCATCACCTTCCTTCCTGCGCATTGGCTTGCCCTTGTGGTCCGACTGACTCCCTCCCGAACCGAACCAGGAAGGGCAACCACCCACGTCCTCCAGGCCCGCAGCCAGGAGGCGACACAGGCGACACTGCAGCACGTCTGGCGACTGATTTTTCCTCTGCGTGCCCCTTGATTTGTCCGGGGCAGGAGACTCAGTCGACTCGAGCAGGGTGATTTCGGGTCAGTTGTGTCGTGGTGGGCGGGCACCCCAGCGGTCGCAGCCAGTGTGGATGGATGGACCGCGTTGAGCTGGAAATGGTTGACGAACCAGGGTTGACAAAAAGGAAATAGCAGATTTTAACAAAAGTTAAGAATAATTTTAAACAGTCGACCATTTTGCGCGCGATGTATGGCATGCCCCCGTCACCCAAAACGGTCGACCCCACCAACTATATCCGTTTATGTTTTGATGTGCCGAATATTGGAAATGTAATTTTGGGTCGCAGTGAAAACATTTGCCGTTTATGTTTTGTTGCGCGAACATGCATTTAAAGCGAGGGTCTCAAGAAGCGCGAAACCAAATCCAAAAGATTTGGTTTTGGGTTGACGAAATTAGCAAAACAGTAACAGCGCCCAACCAGCACCCCTCACCACACCTCCCAATTTTCGAGACCCCCCCAAACCAAAACCTTTGGATTTGGTTTTCTGCTTCTTGAGACCCTCGCTTTAATCGGTCGCGACAAAAATCTGCCCATGCCTGCCTGTCCCCTTCACCTAGCGTGAACGCACGTGTTGGAGTCATCTGACTCTCGCAAATGTCGGGGCTTACGTTTGGTTTTGGGGCACCCGTCAGATCCGGGTATCTGGCCAAAGCTACCCATCAGAATCCGTCTTCAGCACTCTGTCCTCTCAAATTTTACCCGTCAAATCTGGGTTTCACAGCCAGTTCTGCCAAAATTCACCCGTTAGAATCTGGGTTCAAACCCTGTTTTTGGAAATGTTTCCGCGTCGGAATCCGAGTTCAGCAAAAACCTCACCCGCTATTTTGTCGAAATCCGGACGTTGTGCCCCAAAATGATTGCACGTGCTTTTTTCGAATGCCGCAACCCTTAATGTGCCGGCATTGTTTGTCGTATTACTCCTTATTGGACCCTACACATGCTGCCCTTCAGCTGCCCCCAAAAAACGTAGTGGCATCTGAACCCAAAACGAAAACGGGTACAGTGGGGGAGGGTCGACCGTTTCGGGTAACAGGGGCATGCCATACATAGCGCGCAAAAAGGGTCGACCGTCTCAAAACATTCTAAATTTTCATCAAGGCGCGTTATTTCCTTCAACAATCTTATAAGCTTGAGAGTTCACAGTAACGCTACACATGATGTCTGCAAAATGCCTAGCCCGATTCTGTCCCAAAGTGCACCTCCCCGATTCCATCCACATTCATCCAGCGCGACTCGTGAACAGAGTGTTCTGAAGTCGGGCGCCGTCTGTACAGTACAATGACTGCACGAACCGACCAAATCTGTTGACCCAAACTTTCTGTAGTATTTGCCATCCTGATGGGGTGCGGTGCGGTGTGGTGGTCGTTGCGAGCAGGATTTGCCCATATTTGATCATGCTTGATCGGGTGTGAGGGGATGTGGAACCTCGGTGTTGTCACATGGTCAACCTTTTTAAGCACCTACACAACATCAACTTTCGCAATTCAGATGCGTAACATGCAACTAGTCCTAATTATTTAGCCTTCATCATGGAAAACTCAAGTTTTAAACTTCATTTAGGCATAAAGCACGACTACACAAGCCAAGTAAAGATTTGGCGCTTGCATACATTCAAACTTGCTTAAAACTTGAGAAGGGAAGCATGTTGTTGGAGTAACATGTGACAAGCATCCCATTAGTCAGATATCCAGCAAATGGTTCAAGCACCGTGCTAGTTCAGTCGAAGGGTCGACGTACTGGCAAGACGCTCGAGCAAGCTTTGTGCTCCAAGCTCGGATACCAGGTTGTTCAAACCTAGCATGGCCACCAGGGGAAGCTCTTCATCACATGGGAGTATGGCGAGTGCAGAGGGCAGCAATTCCCTTGCATGCCTGTGCAAGTTGCAACCTTCTCCTGTGCATCTGCATTTTAGCACGCATTTTGTACTGCTGATGTTTCCAATTCCCGCCATGTATACGCTGTCCCACGCGTTCTATATGCTGTAAATGGCAAAGTACTCACTATGTACGGCCAACCTCCAGCTCTCATCCCTGTATTACAGCAATTCAACCAGCACCACAAGCTCTAACCATATACGTACCTAGGTTGCACATTCACACCTTTTGATGTCCCACAGCCTCCAGGTGCCCTTACCTCTATCACGTTACAGTTGGGTAGGGTACAGCTTCAAGCGAAATCAGAAGCTGTGAAACAGATCACTATATGTGCGGTACCTCGTGTCATATTCCTCACTTCTCTGCAATTGCTCGTCTCCTCACTCACTACCTCCTCTCCCGCCCCGTCCCCCACCAGTTCTTCCACGCGATCTGAGCGACAGTTGTCTGAACCAAGAGTACTCGGAGTCCGGATGTAGGATGATAATGCTGCTAGCTTTCACCAGTTCTGCTAGCTGGATTGTTGGATTGTGGGCTTCAGAGTGATCTCTGCTCATGGTAGCAAGGAGTCTGTACGAGTACAGTAGCCGATTTGTTCCTCGAGACGTTTGTAATCCGATTTCTAATCGTCTGAAACCATCGTGTGGGCCTCGTAAATCGAAGGCCCAAACGATAGGAGATGGTGGGAAGTGATGTGAAGAGTGAGCTGGGCTAGGATGATGAAATGAGAACCTCCCAACATGAAAAGGAACGAGGACGGGATGCAGGGACGAGCTGGTCAACCTCCTGGTCGTTGCCACGTGGAGGCGAGGTGTGGTGTGGTGCTGCTGAGCAGAACGAGCCGCAACGAGGTGAGGTCGCGTTGCGAAACGCTTTTCACTTCATGCGGCAAGAGAGCGAAATTTGCACAATTTCTTCGTTGGGGGTCCCTGGTTGAGCAGGCGCCATGCACGAAATTCAGGACTTTCGTGAAACCACATAAGGCGTCCAGATTCCAGGAGCAGAACTTTCAAATTCATGCACCTGGAAAATGTAGAACCCACCAGGGCACCAGCCCATCCGAAGCGATTCCTAATTTGCCCGTGGCATGTGGACGCTTTTGCTAGGGAAATTCGTGAACTGTAGGACTTGCGATGGGCAAGCACAAGCTCTCGCCTTGGGTGACAAGGACAGGCAAATGGTGTTTTGACTCGTGGTTTGGTGTTGAGGGGCCCTTGACGTGGCACTAGTAGCGTCAGGATTTCTCATTGGTGACGCAGCAACCAACCTTTCTCGAAATTCCGGCACGCTCTTCCCCCCCCCCCAGCACCTTTCCCACGAATCAACGCGCTCCGGCCGTGAGGGTCCCCGTCAGCCTCCCTCACCCACCCTCTGCTTCCACCCTCCCTGCCAATGTGGATAAAGCACCAATGTGGATCTAGTCAACTATCACTTGTGTGAAGCAACCAATTTACGCTGACTAAATCGATTCCCGATTTGCGCATCTCTTCGCAGACGCTTCAGCCATGGCTGCCACTCTCGCCACCTCCACTGCCATTGCAGCTCAGTCCCTGTCGATGGCAAAGGCCGTGTCTTCCTCTACCAGTAAGTCGAACATCTCGCCATTATCATACTATTCGTTCCGACACGCTTCCTGCTATTATAACAGTATGACTGCCGTATCCATGCCTGACAATTCCTTGGATTCCTGTGCATTGCGTCTACTTGCAGCTATCCCGGCTTTCTCGGGCCTGAAGTCTCTCTCTAAGGCGGCCACCTTGGCGAGCAGCTCCATCTCAGCCAAGAGCTGCGCCTGCAAAAAGTGCACGGGCTCCAAGAGCCGCTCAGTGCGCGCCGAGTCCGTCGTCACACACACGAGCGCCGTACCCAGCCCTAACGGCAACGGCACCACCTACTACGTCGTCAACATCACCTTCCCCAGCCCAGCCCAGGCCGCAGCTCCCGCCACCGTCCCCGCCGCCGCCGCCGCCGCCGCTACCGATGCCGCCGCCGCCGCCCCTGCGGCCGCAGCGGCGCCCGCCATCGGCGGCATTCCCCGCGTGAATCAGGCCGCGCTGCCCGCTCTCGCGTCCATGGCGAAGTTCTTCCCGAACGCGCGGCAGGAGGAGGAGTTCCTGCACGCCGTGGCGGTGGAGCTGAACAAGCTGGGGTTCCGCAAGGACAACGGCATCGCGCTCGTTAACACGTGCCGCGACGAGGTGTGCAGACCCATCGTGAACCTGATCGACAAGGAGTTCGGGCTGAGCTTTAACGTGTCCGGGCTGGGCGGGCTGGTGAACTGCGGGAAGACGGGGTTCAAGGCCGCCATGAGCCACTCGCCCGAGTTCCTCTGCGACGTCGATGGCACCATCAAGGAACGATGTGAGTGGCTGGTAGGGTGGGACGCGCTGACGGATTCCAAGTGCCACTCTAAGAGTGGCATTACTAGGTGAACAGTGTAGCTGCGGGGTCGTGCGAGTCCCGGAACCCAGGAAGTTGCGTGAAACACGTCAGGAAAATGTGGTGACCCTAAAGACGTCGTGTTGCAGCCTCCCGGCCTCCCAGGCTTCTCCGCCCACCTAATCTTCCCCCTCTTTCACATGCGCATGTTTCTAAAGAATCCAAAACGAGCTCGCAGCGTTCTGCCCCGTATCATCCCTCTCACACTCTCCCCTCGCCTGCACCGTTTGCCTTCCTCCCATCTCCAGACATTTTCTTCGCGTTCCCCCATGTGTCGGTCGGCGAGTCCGGCGAGGTGGGCTCTCTGCTGCGCCGCGGGCGCGGCAAGTCGTCCTCCGCGTGCGGAGCGCTGATCGCGATCAAGAACGACATCAACGCGGGCAACGGCCCGACGCCCGACGACGACGACGCGGAGTACCAGCTGCTCAAGACCAAGGTGATGGAGAAGGTGCAGCGCAAGAAGGAGGGCGAGCTGCTGTCGCTGGTCCAGGTCACCAAGGCCGCCATGCAGGCAATTAATGAGGACCTCGAGAAGCTGATTGCGCTCACCGTCGATCCCGCCACGGCGGACTATGCGGTTGTCACTGGCGTGCAAATCCACTCTGGAAACCAGGTCCCCGGCGAGCCGTTCCGCCTGGAGCGCACGTGCGACTACATCGCGGCGGACAAGGTGTACGCCGTGGTGCGCGGCAAGCGGTACGACCTGCAGCTCGACGCCGCTGACGTGCCCACCGCCACCGAGGCTGTCGCCGCTTAGAGTGGCCACCCGTGCTAGAGTACCCTAGGCTACTACTAGGATGGTTTTTTTCTTTGTAACTTATTTTGTTCTTTCTCGTAAGGAAACCAAGTTTCTTACTCTACACGGAGCTGTTTCTCCAGAATGTGTGTTGTCGAGAAACTGAGGTAATGAGCCAAACACCACCAGAGGCCTACCCCATGATCAACATTCCTTCCTTGGACCAGAATGTGCACCCAATCCGGGCTACACGAATGTGCTCAGGTTGCTGCTGCAGTTGCTTGGACCAGAAGCGTGATACAGTGACACCCTAGCTCGTTCGGTGACTCCCCCATTCTACAAGCCAAAACCCCGACCCCGTGGGACATGCAAAACCCTCTCCAAGCGGCTGCTCCAAGGGTTTATGGCTGTAGCACACCAGAAGTGTGCTAGCAGCAGGAACGAATAACCCTTATGCAGCACTCTGCCAAATATCGGTACCAGGAGTGTGCCTGCCTGGTAATATCCCATCCCAACACAAGAATGGACACGGCTGCAACGAGGATTGTACGAGCAGCCAGACTCTAGCAGCTGACAATCGTAACTGTGGTGTGCTTTGATGCCACCTAACTCTGTGCTGTGCCCTACTCTGCCATCTCCACGTCCTCCCCAGTACTTCCCTCAAGCGCATTGCTGCTCACTGCCTGCTGCTCCATACTCATGCCATCTGCTGTTGCCATGAGCGAGTCAGCTTGCTGCTCTGCCTGCTCCACCTCATCCTCCACCTCCACCTCCTCTCCTGCCTCTGCCTGCGCCTCTGCCTCTGCCTCTGCGGCTGCTTCCTGCCCACTGCCAACGTCGGCAGGTGGACGCAGCTGAAGGGCTGTCAGAGCAGCAGAGTGGAGAAGATGGAAATGGGTAAGGGCATGGCAGAGGAAGGGGAGACGGGTGAAGGTGGGATGCAGAGAAATGGAAATTCGAGACACAGGATGACAAGCCGACATTTATCATTACCACAGGCACAAAAACAGCATTGTTTGACAATCTCTTGCCCCACTACCAGGGAGCACACTCGTGATGCCGCAACGCAGAGACAGTGGGTGAGGGTACTATCGTACCTTCCAGCAGCTTGCTCCCTCCTAGAATCTGAATGGGCTGGCCCTGCAGCAGAGCGCTCATCATGCCGCCAAGCACCCGTCTCTCCATGGGGCTGGCCCCCATCCATGCCACCTTCAGCTTCTCCACCGGCCACTGCTGCACCGCTGCCCGTGCTGCAAGCGCCGTTGCTGCTGCCACGGCTTCCCTCTCCGCGCTTCTCCCAGCTCCAGCACCACCGCCCATGCCAATGCCAGCCCCGATTCCAGTGCCAGCGGCCAGGGTGGCCAGTGCAGGGATGGCCGGAGGGGAGTAGAGCACAATGGCCTTCGCATTGTCTGCTTGCTGTGCGGAGAGCTGCGCCATTGGTGGCAGTGGTGCTGGTGGGGATGCGGAGCTCGTGGTGTCCATTAGGCTTGTGCCTTGGGGGAGGAAGGGAGAGGTAGGAGCAGCAGCAGCAGCAGCAGCAGCAGCAGCTATGGGGGTAAAGACGCTGCCGTTGCTTGAAACAGGAATACCGGCAGAAGCAACGCTGGGGGTTACAAGAGCAGTGTCAGAAGGAGCGGAAGGAAAGACAGGGGCAGCAGCAGCGCCGGTGGTGGTGAGTGGGGTTGAGGAGAAAACGGAGCCTTGCATTAATGCAGGAGAGAGAGGGGGTAAGGGAGGAGGGACCACGGAGGTGAGTGGAGAGGATGGAGAGGGGGAGGTGGGGGAGACGGCAAGCTTTGGAGGAGCAAACTGGAAGTTTGCAGGGTCCGCTGTCGCTGATGGCAATACTAGAGGCTCAGGCGGCTGTGGTGGGGGGCAATGGGCAAGGGCACATGGGCAGGGGAACCAGAGTAGATGGGAAATGGCACATGGGCACATGCCAGCAGGGGGGGCAAAGGAGAAGCACTTGTGAGGGACAGGGAAATGAGAGGCGATGCTCCATCACTGTAACAAAACAACTTTCACAGGTACCGGTGATCCCCCCCCCCACCCCTTCCCCACCCCTTCCCCACCCCACTCACCTGCAGTCTCGCCCGCTTTGCTGGAAGCCCCAGGTCTATCGCGGGATCTGGCCCCATCCCCCCCACCATCCCATCCATCCCCATTGTGCTCCCCCTGCCCGCTGCGCCATCTCCCCCCGCACCTCCCGCCATCCCCACTCCCCCTCCGCCTGCCCCCCATCCCGCCTCCATCCATGCCCCTCCCTTGCGCTTCGACCCCAGCCTCGGCGCGTCCGCCCCGCAGGCCGGAGGACCCGGAAGGGGGGAAGTGGGGGGAGAGGCGGAAGGGAATGCGGGCGCGGCGGGGAAGGGCTGCGAGGCGAGGTTCGCAGCCGGCGCGCCCGCGCCTCCTGCCCAACCAAGACCCGCGCCTGCGCCGATTGGCGGAGCTTTCGGCGCAACTGCGGGGTCTGGCGAGCCGGGGAACGTTCCTGCGGCGAAGGGGGAAGACAACTCTGCGCATAGTGGCAGGGCGGTCTGGGGCGGCTGCGCCCCGAAGGACAGGTGGGCGGAAGAAAACGGGGCTTCGCGGATGGGGGAGGTGGCGGGGTGGGTGAGAGGGGAGCCGGGGGGAGTTGCCATAACGGCAATCTACTTCCGAGAGGTTTAGAGAGTGGCCTCGAGAAGAAGTAAGGTCGGAGAATACGCGAACCTCAATAGACCACTGAGTACCTCGGGAAATCAAGGTGATGGATTGAACCACAGGTTTCGGCTGTATCCGAACACGAGGAATCGAGGTGCGTGGCCGGTCACTGGCCGTCCATGAAACCCGTGTTTGAGCTCGCGTATCGGCTGTGATAGCAAGTGGTCAAATGCGAGGCTACGAGGGGGGGCGGCCAGACAGAGGGGACGTATGCTGGAAGGGGCAGTGTAGGGGCAGGCAGGTGGGTTGCTGCCCCTGGTAAAGTTGGAGAAGATCGGTTAGTACTGTTATGGAGAAGATTCACGAAATTGGCGTGCGAGGGTGAACTTTCTATCCACAGCATCCTGAAGCGCCTGGAACATTCTATCCGGTGCCTCTAACGAGAGATTGACTGTTCTTAAGGTTTGATGAAACCATAGTACGGAAAGAAAAACGTGAGGTGAAAGTGCTGTACTAAATGTATTATGCGAATGTGGTTTAATGTTACGATAGGCCGATTGGCAACAAAAACAGGTGTGAATCTGTGAAAGTTCATTTTCTGAGGTTGTAAAAAACCTAAGCACCACATGTCAAAGGTGAGGATTGAGTTACATAGCGATGCTCAAGATTGAAGGAGCAAGCATGGGCGTGGAATAGATGATGGATTGGTGTCAGGTCGTGCCAAAGATTCAGGGAACAGGCATACGGTACATCACTGTACATGAAGAGAGGGCATCAATAGAAAGAAGCACCCGAGGCTCAAACGTTAAGTTAGCATGCATCAAGGAATCATACACAGAGCGGGCGAAGCAGAAGCAGTGCAACAGCAGCAGGTGGACACGCAGCTAAAGAAGGCCAACAGCCCGTTGGCTCTTGTCGAACGCGACTGCAAACTGCCAGAGCGCCCCAAAACTTGCCTGAACAGAGAGCAACACAGGCAATCCACACACACAACACAGAATTTATCGCTGTGACAACACATAGGGCGGCTACGAATTGGAACATGGCAGCGAAACACTGGGGGGGGGGGACTGAAGCCAAAAGAGGGAGTGGGCGATTACCTGGGGTTTAGATGTGTGGGGCTCCCCCAGAAACGTTGCGAGGTGCTGAAACTGCTGCTTGCTCTCCTCCAAATGCTGTGCCAACCTTTCCCTCTCCTCCCTCGCCTTGTCAAGAAATTGTGTTAGACGGTCAGATAGAGGCACCTCCCACTGCCATGCACTACCATCATCACCATCATCACCATTATCACCATTCTCATCATCATCATCATCATCATCATCATCATCATGCCCACCAACATTAGCTCCAGCCTCATCAGCATCACCACGGATAGTATCACCGCCATTAACATCACCACCAGCCCTGCCATTCCCATGGGCATCCCCACCAGCCTCATTCCCAGCAGCAGCACTATGCAGGCACGCAACTTCGCCCTGCCCCCTCCTCCCCCACGGATCGCCTTCCACTCTTGCACTGCTTCCACTCCCACACCGCCCAACGCCTTCTAAGGAGCGGCCCAAGCTGTCAGCATCACCCGCATTCCTCTCACCACCCCCACGCCCCTCAGTCTCCCCCACATGCCGCATCCACGCGCCCCCTCGCTGAAACATGGTCCGCCTCTGCTTCTCCCTCTCCCTCTCCGCCTCCTCCACCTCCCCGGTCTCCCAGTCGCTCTCGTCTATCCGCCCCCCCCCCCCTTCCCACTTGTTAACCACGTCCTTCACATACACGCCTCGGATCGCTAGCTTTGCCCCTCTCCGCGCTTCCTCATCCCCTTCCAGAGACACACCGGGGCGAGGAGACACACCAGGGTATGGAGACACACCCGGGAGGGGAGACGCAACTGAAGGTGTTTCCATGTGTGCTGCTGGACTGTAGTTGCTGGCACGACTGGTGGGGATGCTGCCGCTGCTCGTGCTGATGCTGCTACCATTGAAACAGCTGCTGCTGCTGGCGGTCGTAGTGCCACTGCCACCACTTCCAAACCCCTCCCCATCGCATCCCTCTCTGCCCTCACTCGTCTCACCACCTCCAACACCCCATCCGCCCCCGCCACGCACCCTCTCCCCCTCAAACGCAAAATAGTCCTCCTCCCTCTTCCTCCCCTCCCCGTATTTCACCTGCCCTTCTCCGCCCTCCTCCCCATGCTCCCCTTGGCCCCCCTCCCCCTGCCCCTCAGCCTCCTTCCCCTCCTCCGTGCACACCTTACCCGGCTCGCTCTGGCACCTGGGAAAGCTCTCTAGCGCCTCTCTGCGTGCCAGCTCCGCCACTGGCCCGCCGTGACACCCATACGCCACCCGCACAGCTGACACTCGAGACCCGCCCACTGTGCTCGATAAACCCCCCAGCGCACCAGAGGCATACCTCCCATTCGATCCATGGAGGCTCATGCCCAACTGTCCACCTGATGATACGTCACAGCTCGTACCCAACTGCATCATCCTCCCGTCCACGTACATCCTACGCTGCGAGTCCTCAAACCCAAACGCATCCTCCGACTCATCACCGGCCTCTGCCTTCTTCCTCCTCCCTGCCCCCTTCTCTCTCTCCCCTGTCCGCGAAGCAAGCTTGCTGCTCCGAGCGGAGAAGCGAGGGGACGGGCGGGGTCGCCCCCCAAGCCCAAACCCGCCTCCTCTCGCCCCTGTTGCGGCCGCCACTGCTGCTGCTGCAAGTGCCGCTGCTGCTTCCCTTCTCATGCTCCTCTCTACAGCCGCTGCTGCGTCGCTCATCTCCCCCCCGCTGTACCCTCTATAGAGCGACCCAGCCCCCCTTTCTTGGTCGGAACCTGCAACAGAAACCGCTGCAGCTGAAGCAGGGTAGCTGGACAGCCCCCCAGAGACGGAGCCCTTGCCATGCACCAATGGTACTCCACTCACGGACCCCCCCACAAGTGCTGACTGACTGTTGACAAACCCTGGTGCAGGTGCAATTGAGCCAGGGATGGACTGGGCTTTAAGGAAATGGTAGGCACCAATCCCGATGTTGCCACTGACGTCACCCTCCTCCCCAGACTCGTCTCCCCTGCTCTTGCGCCACTGCTGCCATGCTGCCACCTCGTCATACACCCTCCCCTGCTCCTTCTCCTCCTCCTCCCGCTCTACTGCCACTGCCGCCCCCGCTGCCACAGCAGCAGCAGCGATGGTGGGGGCGTGGGTGTGGGAGTGTGGAGCCAGGGCGTTGAGAGGGTGGATGTGGGAGTGGGGAGTGAGGAGGAGGTTGCTGCTGGTGCTGCCAGTGCTGCCGTCCTGCTCGGCCCACACCTGCTTGGTGCGGGGAGTTGCGGCTATCGCTCCGTTCAGAGGACTCCTCTTGAACGCCATGCACTTGCGCGAATCGCCCTGTGGAACTCCCTTTGGGCCAGCTCTCTGCTCGTGCAAACCAGCACCACCATGACCACCATTGCCATGAGCATCAGCATCCCCATCGTTGTCACTGTCCCCGTCACTGCTACTCTCGTCCCCGCTATCCCTGCACCTGAATACGTCCGGGGGGTGGGTGCCATAAGAGGACGAGCAAGTGGAGGGGGGTTGGGCGGGAAGTGCCGGCGAGGCCAGTCGCCCTCGGCTTGGCAGACGCTCCTGCCGTACAAAGGCGGATGCAATCACGTCCTCGTCCTCCTCTCCCTCCTCATCCACCTCATCCTCCCCATCACCCATTCTCCCTCCAGCAGTCCCGAGATTCTCACCAACACCATCACCACCATTAGCATCACCACCATCCCTAGCATCGTCATCACCATCATCACAATCATCACCATCAGCAGCCGCAGCTACATGCCTGTCCCGGCTAGACCAGCTGCCCATGTCACTCATCGCCCTCCTGTGCATTCTCGCTGCTACCATCTCCCCTAGCGACATCCTCCGCCCTGCACCACCACCCTCCCCCCCTCCTCCACCCTTCCCCCCGTCTCCTTCCGCCCTCTTACCCCCACCTCCCCTACCTCCACCCCCCCCGGTTACCCCTCCCCCTCCAGTCCCCCTCCCCTTCCCAGCACCAGCACGAGCAGCACCATCATCACTAGCAACCCCTGACACGGGCACCGTCCTCTTAACCACTGCCATAGCAATGCCCTTCCTCGCCCCAAATCTCGTCACCCACGTGTAATCACTCACTCCGCCCTTCCCCCTTCCCCCTGCGCCCGCCCCCCTTCCGCCTCTGCCTCTGCCGTCCTCCCCCCTGCCCCCCCCTGCAGGGCCCCCTTGAGAGGAGAGCGCGGAGCCTAAGGAAGTGACTCGCCTAACCGGGGCCTGGCCGTGCTCTTCCCCGCTTGCTGCTACCCCTGCACCCATGCTGGAAGCCCGGAGCACTGGTGGTGGTACTGGTGGTGCTGCTGCTGCTGCTGCTGCTGACGATGATGATGATGATGATGATGGTGGTGGTGGACGTGGTGCTCTTGCGCCTGCTGCTGTTGGCCGTTCCATAGGCGCTGCTGCTGCAGCAGGTGGTGCTTCAACCCCTCTTCCTCCCAACGCCACTGGCACCGCTCCTACTGATGCTCCTGCACCGAGTGGCCACCCCGTTGTTAACGCAGAAAACGAAGAAGCAGCAGCAGGAGGAGCCGCAGTCGTAGCACCAACAGGAGCAGCTGAAGCCCCAACAGCAGCAGCAGCAACAGCAGCCGGTGTTGGGCGGGGTGGGAGCGTGGCATTCCCGGTGCGAGGAGTGGCAGGAACGGACCCCTTGCCCCTCCCTGCATGTCCCGCGGCTGGAGTGCGAGGCGTGGCAGGAACACTCCTCTTCCCCCCTGCCCCGCCTCCTCTAGGCGTGGGGGGAACAGACCTCCTCCCCCCTGGCCCGGTTCCCCTGGGCGTGGGGGGAACGCTCCTCAGCTTGACGCCTGCTCTGATGCCTTCTGAAAACGACGCCCCGAGGCCACCAGTGGGCGTAGAGGCAATGCACGCACCAGTGGTGGATGCAGCAGCAGAGGCATGGGCAGGGACTGACATCGCAGCAGCGGGAGCGGCAGCGGTAGAAGTGGCGACAGGAGAAGGGCCAGTGGCGGTAGCGACAGCAGCAGGGGATGCGGCAGAGGAGATTGTCACTGCGTCCCCATCTACAGCCCTGCTTGCTGTCTCCCCGCCCTCCTCTCTCAAAACACCCCTTTTCCCACCCCCCTCCTCCTCTCTCCCACCACCTCCTTCCCCTCCCTGCCTTCCATTCCGTCTTTTCCCGCTCTTCTTCCCCCCCTTCCCGCCTCCTGACCTCTTCCCCCCTTCCGCCTCCTTGCCTCGCGCCACAGGCTTTTCCATCTTACCCCACTCCTCCCACTCCTTTCCAAACCGTCTCGCACTCCCCCGCCACCCAACCCTGCCCTTTCTCACCCCTTCCCCCCCCTCTATCCCTCCCCCTTTGCCCCGGCCGGCTCTCGATCCTTGCAACGGAGCCCAGCAGGTGAGGGCGCAGCTGCCACTGCCTGGAGTCTCTGCCTCCTCCCCCTCACTCCTCCTGCTCGCACCCGCCAGCAGCAGCGCTCCCTCCTCTTCCTCTCCCAACCCGTTCTGCTCCCCTGCACCTCCCCCCTCCCCTCTCCTACCTTCCGAGTCAACGCTCCCCTCTCCACCCTCACCCGCGCTACTACCCTCCTCCTCTCCCCCCTCCCCGGCCTCCTCCCCCTCCTCCTCGCCCTCCTCCTCGCCCTCCTCACTCCCCTCTCCCCGCTCCAAAGCCGCCGCTTCAGCCGCGGCTCTAGCGGCCTCTATCGCCTCTTCTTCACTGATCACGAACGCCAGCTCGCGTTCCACAGTGGCTATGCCTTCATCCACCCCCCCCAGACTCCTCTGAATCTCCTCCAGAGGCACCTTGGCCGCAGCAGCCACAGCGTCCAACGCCTTGGTCATCTCAGTATCGCTCTGCACCGCTCCGCCTGACATAACTAGCACAGCTACCACGTCTAACAGGCTGGTTGCTTGCAGCATGGCTCGCTTAACCTGCCGCCCCTCTAGCCTGCCCCCTACGCTGCTGCCAGCAGTGCCGGTGCTCATGCTGGCTCTGGTGCTGCCGCTACTACTACCACCAGCACCAGCACCAGCACCAGCACCAGCACCAGCACCACCGCCGCCGCCCACAGGAATGCGAGCCCCTGTGCTTCTGGACCCAGGCAGCAGAGCAGAAGAGCCAGCAGCAGCAGCCGCACTGCTTGCACTGCCCACAGCCGACAAGCCCCCAGGCGCGGGCGGGAGAGACGAACACCGGGAGGAGGAGGGAGCATGATGGGGAGGGGGAAGCCCTGGGGCAGCAGCAGCAGCAGCAGCAGCAGCAGCAGGAGGAGGAAGAAGAGGGGAGGTGCGGAATTCAGAAGCAGGGTTGGCGGCAGGGTGGGGTGATGGAGCTGGTGGCGCTGAGAGAGTGACGCGGTGGTCTGCCAGCTTCGGTAGAGTCTCTATGCTGAACCCCAGGGCGCCGGCTGGGGGATCAGATTGGAAGGGTGAGAGGAAGGGGTGGAGAGGATGGGGTGAAAAGGAAAGGGTGGAGAGCGCAAGGGTTGGAAAAAGGAACGGGAGAAGAGGACAGAGAGGAAAGGGTAGAGGGAAGCACATGCAGAATGAGGGCAAGGAGAAAGATGCTAGGGGAATGGAAACCAGGAGCAGGTCAGAGGAAAGGAGGATTGGGGGACGTCTGGAGAGAGAGCACACAAGGGGCCATGGGACTGATGAGAGCCCGAAGGTGCTCTTTGCTGTCTCGGTCGACAGCTATGGCTGCTGCAATGGCTTAGGACACTCAAGTTGCATGTTGCAGGTTGCAGGTTGCAGGTTGCGAGTGCGAGTGCGGACCTTTGGTGCTGCCGTAGTTGAGCTCGTTGCCTGCTTGCAGCGCTGCTGCCATGGCCGCCCTCAGAGGCTTGCACTCCCGCACCTGGACACACACACAGAGACAGAAAGGCACACACACAGACACACAGAGACCCCCACGCATACACACACACACACGCACGGGTTGAGGTTCAGGGTTGCCAAACCATGCATGCCAGCCGCGAGTATGTGTTGCGTTGCCAGCACATGCACAGGCAGCATGTCATGGCAGATGACGGAGCCAACGCAACGCATGACGGCAGCCCATTCAGAGACTCAAGAGACTCCCCTTGCACCCCCCCATAATACCCCCCAGAACCACACCCCAGCACCACACCCCAGCACCACACCCCAGCACCACACCCCAGCACCACACCCCAGCACCACACCCCAGCACCACACCCCAGCTCCACACCCCAGCACCACACCCCAGCTCCACACCCCAGCTCCACACCCCAGCACCACACCCCAGCACCACACCCCAGCTCCACACCCCAGCACCACACCCCAGCACCACACCCCAGCACCACACCCCAGCACCACACCCCAGCTCCACACCCCAGCACCACACCCCAGCTCCACACCCCAGCTCCACTCCCTGACACCACCCCCCCTACTGCTGCCTCGTCCGTGCAAACGTCACTCAAGCACAGCACCCCACCACCATGCGCCATGCCCACGCACCACCACGTACCTTTGTGCACCGCACTGACCTGCTGGCATGCGCGTTGGAAGGTGTCGATAAGCCGTTGCGTGTCCGCCACCATGTCACTGCACCGCAGCATGAACACCCACGCCTGATGATGAGTAGCCAGGGGTGGGGGCGATGAGAGGGAGGTGAGCCACGCAGCATGAACACCATATCATGCATCCTTCTCCTCACTTTCGCCCATCATAAGAGAGAGGCACATGAGAGAAACAACAGCGCACAGGGCACGTGAGAGCAGCAACATCTGCACAAACCGTGCTACTGCTACCCTCTCTAATCAGCACCAACTCGCCCACTTCCTCCTCACTCCCTTCCCCGTCATTCCCCCACCCCTTCATTCCTCCCCCCCCCCCCCATTCTTTCCTCCCCCCCGGGTGCGCACGTCGAGCTTGTCTCTGAGGCGCGGGATGGTGGCGAGCGCGTGCAGGAACTGCTCCGGGGACGACAGCGACTCCAGGGGGCGCCGCTCCGCGTACGCCAGCAGCTGCTGCGCCTCGTCGTCCGTTGGCACCACCTGACGGGCAGCACGGTATGGGGAGAAGGGCATGAGATGAGTGTGCGAAAGAGGGAGTGGCAGGGGTTGGCTGAAGTTGGGGGAGATGAGATGACGGAGTGGTTTAGTTTTGAGGAGTGGTTAGGGGGGGAGAAGGGGGGGGGGGGGAGAGGGGGGAGAAGGGGAATGAGTGCCCAACAACACAGAAGAAGGAGGACGACAAGGCAGGCCCTACTTGTTCACCGTGGCTCGCAAGGGGCTGATGTGATGAGGTGCTCGTTGAGTGGGGCAGCAGCGTTCCTGCGCCATGAGCGCCAGTTTCTCCAGTCCAGCAACACTTAGTTTCTGAGAAATCTCAAGCGCAAACTCGGCTCGAGCAGCAGCGTACCTGAGCGATGAGCGCCAGTTGATCCAGCGACAGCGCGCCCCCCGCGTTGCCCAGCAGGATGGCGTCCCTGATCGCCCCGTGCGCCATGCGGAACTGCGCCAGCGTTATAGCCACGTTGTTCGCCCTCGTTAGAGTCACAACCTTCACCACACCGCTCCCCTTCCCCCCCTCGCCGTCCCCCCCAAGCACCTCCCCGCCATCTCCCCCTCCCGCGGCACCCCCCAATTCTCCGCCACCCCTTCCCCCCCCAAACGCCCCACCGGGCCCGTATCTCCCGCCAGCCGCCACCCCCCCGGGGCCTATCTTAACCTTAGACTCCTTGGCTTTAAAGAGCACCTGCAGGGCCTCTAGCTTGAGCCCGTCGAGCTGCATGCGGGAAAAGAGATCGGCGTCTCTCGAGAGCTCCTCCCAAATGGTCCCCTTGGTGTCGTGCAGCTTCGTCCAGTGGAAAACCTTTAAAGCCACCGCCTCCCTCCGCTCCTTGATCGACCGCGCGCGGCGGAACGACGAGCGCGGAGTGGCCAGCGCGCTTGAGGAGTAAGGACCGGGAGGGGGTGGCGGAGGGGGAGGAGGTGGGCCCCGTGGCGGAAGGGGAGGGGGAGGGGGGGCAAATGGTGGGGGAGGAGGAGGAGGGGGGGGCGGGGGAGGCGGAAGCGCGGAAGGTTCTGTTGTTCCTTCCGCCCTTCCATCTCCCCCCTCTCCCCCTGCTGGGCCTGCAGGCGCCGGCGCGGGTTGGCCCTTATTGTTGTCGCAGCTGCGGGCTTTATTGGTGCTGCTGACGTTCTCGTCAACGTCTACATCGTCGAATGGAACGGCCGGCAGAAACGGATGCCGACCGCTGCTGTCGGTGAAACGACGGGCGGGGATGGGAGGGGAGGGGGGGATGTGGCGGGAGGGGGCGTCGGGGAAGAGGGGGAAGAAGGGAGCGTGGCGGGGATGACGGAAAGAAATAAACCGCGAGAGGAGAAAAGGACCGGTGCGGGGTTGAGGAGGGGTGGAGAGAAGAGGACAGAGGCAGTAGCGAGGAAGGCAAAAGGGTGGAGCTGCATGTACTAAACGACACAACCATCCATCGTGTAGCCATCAAACCACAAATTCAGGCTTTCATGCACCCATGTCCCACGTATTCATGCACCACCTCTTTCGATTCTCAGCCCCTCACCCTCGGAAGATGGGCCCGAAGCAGCTAACGGCCATGGCGGGTCGTTGCTTGACAGGCAGCGGGGAAACGGCGATGAGCGGGGTACACGCCTAGGGGGACGTCGCGGGATGTTTTACTGGCGGGGTCGTGCGCTAGACTGACGGAATAAATTACAGGCCGTTTTCTTTGCGAGCAATATCGAGGCCGAATGTCCGAGCTGGAGGCACGGCAGCGCGAAGCTGCAATCGCTCAGGCATCGCACCTAGAGTCGCAGCGCCGAAGCAGAGCCTTGTCGCAGGCTTCGAGAACCGTCTAAAGACATGAGGTGGTCCTAAAACCAGCCTTCTCTCTGGACTGGCCTCTAGACGTATGTGTTGGAAACTTGATAAGCTTGTGAGGTCGCATTAGTGTTTCAGGCAGGCATGCAGAAATGCGGGAGTTCGTTGTCCCCTCCATTCGTGGGCTGGTTCGGGCTGTCGTCCCCATTCCCTGGTCTGTCGGTGGCACGGCACGGGGAATGACGATCATGCGGCGAGGCTTGAATTCTTCTGCTGTCCTTCTTCTCCCAGGGCAGGTGTTCTCTCGAAGCCCCCGACAGGCAAAAACTGCCCGTGGGCATCACCAGTCGCATGGTCTACAGTCAGCCCACTGGGATTGGCTGTGCGTCCCGACTCCCCAGTGGCGCTCTGGGAATTTCTGGCCAGGTGTGCTGCAGCTGACCTTTTCCCACATGCCCTTCGCGCTCATACTGCACCAGGTTCGTTCATGTGACGTAGGCCACATGGACTCTGGGGCCCATTGGGAGAGTCTCCCCCAAACCAACCACCGCCGAGGTTTGGGCTCGACGGCTTGGCCGAGCCAAGGAAAGGGTTTTCCCGTGTGCAGTACGCTCCTTGGAGATACCGTACCGAAGTGTGCGTTACGGATTTCGTGGTGCTTGGAATACTTCGCCCTCTGTACTGTAACGGGCAGGCTTGGACGGTGTCATGTCCGGATCGAACCGACTTGAGTCAACCAAACTTGGGGTTCCCATTGGCTTTCGGTTGGGGATGTTCGTGCTCTGGTTCGGCAAGCACCAAAACACCAATGGGCACTCTCCGAATCACTTCAAGAACGACTGACAGCGGCCGTCGCTTGTGATGCATTCGCTGGAATCGGGGAGACATACCATTGTAATCACCTATCTCTCATTGAACATCAGAATATGTATAACAATAATGTGAGAATTTATATAAACAAGTGGGATATCCCCTCCCACCATCTTCCCCCAAACATGTGCCCACCCAAGACGTGATTGAAGGTGGCTACTGTCAAACATGTGTATTTGTCATGTTTGTATAGACTGTATAGGGTAGCCTCTTAGAGGGTACAACACTTAGGTATATCTGTGTGTACCCTCTCTCTAACATTATTCACTTCTTCAATTTCTGATATGGTATCACGCGTAGGTAGGATCCCCCCCACCTACCGCTTCCGCTCGCCCCCCCTAGCCCCGTTGCGCCCCTCCCAGGCCCCGTCGTGCCCCTCCTGGGCCCCGTAGCGCCCCTCCTGGGCCCCGTCGCGCTCCTCCTAGGCCCCGTAACGCCCCTCCTGGGCCTCGTCGCGCCCCTCCTGGGCTCCGTAGCGCCCCTCCTGGGCCCCGTCGCTCCCCTCCCAGGCCCCGTAGCGCCCCTCCTGGGCCCCGTAGCGCCCCTCCTGGGCCCCGTCGCGCCCTTTCTGGGTCCTGTAGCGCCCCTCATGGGCCCCGTCGCGCCCCTCCCAGGCCGTGTAGCGCCCCTCCTGGGTCCCGTCGCGCCCCTCCCAGGCCCCGTAGCGCCCCTCCTGGGCCCCGTCGCGCCCCTCCAAGGCCCCGTAGCGCCCTTCCTGGGCCCCGTCCCGCCCCTCCCAGGCCCCGTAGCGCCCCTCCTAGGCCCCGTCGCGCCCCTCCTAGGCCCCGTACCGCCCCTCCTGGGCCCCGTAGCGCCCCTCCTGGGCCCCGTCGCGCCCTTTCTGGGTCCTGTAGCGCCCCTCCTGGGCCCCGTCGCGCCCCTCCCAGGCCCCATAGCGTCCCTCCTGGGTCCCGTCGCGCCCCTCCCAGGCCCCGTAGCGCCCCTCCTGGGCCCCATCGCGCCCCTCCCAGGCCCCGTAGCGCCCCTCCTGGGCCCCGTCGCGCCCCTCCTGGGCCCCGTCGCGCCCCTCCTAGGCCCCGTCGCGCCCCTCCTGGGCCCCTGCAGCGCCCCTCCTGGGCCCCCCCCGTCGCGCTCGCCCGGCCCCGTCGCACCAGCCCGGCCCCGTCGCACCAGCTCGGCCCCGTCCTGCTCGCCCGGCCCCGTCGCACCTGCCCGGCCCCGTCGCACCCTGCCCGGCCCCGTCGCACCAGCCCGGCCCCGTCGCGCCCGCCCGGCCCCGTCGCACCGGCCCGGCCCTGTCGCCCCCGCCCGGCCTCGTCGCCCCTGCCCGGCCCCGTCGCGCTCGCCCGGCCCCGTCGCCCCGGCCCGGCCCTGTCGCACCAGCCCGGCCCCGTCGCGCCCGCCCGGCCCCGTCGTCCTCGCCCGGCCTAGTCGCACCTGCCCGGCCCCGTCCTCCTCACTGGTACGGTTCCCCCCTACCCCGCCCTGCACTGCCCTGCACCGTACCGCCACGCACCACACTGTACTGCCTTACACCGCACTGTACCGCACTGCACCGCACTGCACTGCACTGTACCGCACTGCACTGCACTGCACTGCCCTGCACCGCACTGGACTGTTCCTGATGGCGGCGGAGCTTCGCTTCGACGCTGAAGGTCAGCCCCTAGAGTTCGAGGCGTGGCTTGCCGACCTCCGCCGCCAACTCACTGGCCAGTGGCAGGATGGTGAACCGCTTTCCGCACACCTTGACGGTACGCTCCCCTGCCCAGACCCCCCTGCTATTCTGCCCGCTGACCCCACACCCACTGAGCGTGAGTCTACTGCTGCCACTACCCGTGCGCGCTCTGTCTGGCTTTCTCGCGATGCTGTCGCCCAGCTTGCCATTAGCAACGCCCTCCCCCCGTCCGAGCGTCCTCGCTTTAGGTCCCTCACTACTGCTCAGGCCTACTTAGATGCCGTCATCAAGCGCTATTCCACCCCTCCGGCTGCCTCGGTGGGTCGCCTGATCCTCCCGATGCTCTTTCCTGACCTTGCTTCTTTCCCCACTGTCTCTGACCTCGCTGCCCACCTGCGCTCGATAGAGGAGACCTGGCGCGCCGCCTGCACTGACGCACAGCTTAGAGCCCACCAGCCTCCCATTACCTCTACCCTCTACCTGCTTGCCACCCGCCTCCCTGACCGCCTTGCTGTCGCCCGCGACCGCTTCCTTAGCCTTCACCCTGCCGACCTCACCCTCACTGACTTTGTAGACACCCTGACTGTGATAGAGACCCGTCACCGCTCCATCGCCCAGGCGAGCGGTGTCGTGCCTGTCCCTATCTTTCAGGATTGTGCCCCCGCCCAGTGTACCTTCTCCGACGGCTCTGCCGCTGTGGCTGAGACTGCTGCTGCAGCGCAGTTTCGTTCGGGGAAGGGCCGCCGCCCCAAGGTTGGGCGCGGCGGAGGCGGCGGCGGGGGTGCGGGAGGGGGTAGTGGTAGGGTTGGGTTGTCTGGTGCTGGAACGGACGAGGGGACCCTGCCCAGTCCAGCTGAGCCGCCGCCCCTGCAGTTGCAGCAGCCGCAGCAGTCGCCGCAGTCGCAGCCGTCGCAGACGCGGCAGACGAGTGTCCTCCCGCCCGGGTAGCCCGGCGCTGGCGGTGGCCGGGCGCGTGGTGGTGTGTCGAGTGGTAGCTGTCACAGGATCGAATGACTCGAGGATCGATTGCCCTATCGATCAGTACAAGGTGCTTTTATACTTCCAGAGTACATCAGGTAACCAGGTTTATCCTATCCAAAGGAATAGACCCTTCTAGAATATAGAATCACCCTGCGTATAGCCACGCGAGGCTATTGGCTTTAAGGGATTACGGCAGGATTACGCTGGATAATGTGCCAGTACATCCCAAGCCTGGTTGGTGATATAATTAGAATAGCAGGATCAACCAAAAGATAATGGAAGAATGGAGAATAGGAAACCAAATAAGATGAGATAAAAAGAAGAATGAAATAGGAAGGAGATAAGAATAGGACAAGTGGTGTAACGGGGTCGTACTCTCACACTTCCCCCCCTCAAAGCTGGGTGGTAGAAGTAACACCCTGCTTGACAAGGTAGTCATGCAGAGGACGACGGGCGTGACCCATGTCGGTTTCAGAGACCCAGCTGTCCTCAGAAGGATCATAGCCCTTCCAACGAATAAGAAGCTCCACGGTGCCATTCCGACGTCGACGATGTGCAAGCACGGACTCGACCTCGTACTCGGGTTCGTTATGGACGAGGACGGGCGGCGGTGGCGGCGGCTGGCGTCCGGCGAAAATTGTGTTCGGGTCCCGATAGGGCTTCAGAAGTTGGACGTGGAAGGCGTTGTGAATCTTCCAGGTAGCTGGCAGGCGTAAGCGGAAGGTAACAGGAGTGACCTGTGCTTCAACGAGAAAAGGCCCGCAGAAGCGAGGTCGAAGTTTAGATGGGAGATGGCTGATGTCCAGGTTGCGGGTGTCAAGAAGCACCTGGTCTCCCACCGTGATGGTGTGATCGTTGCGATGGCGATCGGCTTGGCGCTTTTGTTGCTGTTGAATGTCAAGGAGGCGCTTATGGGTCCGATCCCAAAGTTGATGCATGGTTGTGATGAAGTCGTGTGCAGGTTGGACTGTTGCTGATGTTGTCGGTTTCTGTGGTGTGAGTGGGTGGCGTCCGTAGCAGAGGAAGAACGGCGTCTGTCCAGTAGCGGCATGTGTAGCATTGTTGTAAGCAAACTCGAGTACGGGCAGGTGCAAGTCCCATTTGGAGATGTCATCCTTGCAGGCTGCTCGGAGGAGTTGCTCAACAATTTGGTTGAGGCGCTCGGTCTGTCCGTCTGTCTGCGGATGGTATGCGGATGACATGGCGAGTTTGGTGCCGAGCAGAGACATAAGTTCCTTCCAGAACTTGCTAGTGAACTTGGGGTCTCGGTCGGAGATGAGTGTAGTTGGGATGCCATGCTGTGAGATGATGTGACGAACGAAGAGCTGTGCTGTCTCCTCGGTGCGTGCCGTCGTGTGTGTCGGGATGAAGTGTCCCATTTTGGAGAACTTGTCAATGACGACAAGGATGGCGTCATGACCGCTGGAGGTAGGTGGTAACCCGGTGATGAAATCTAGGCTAACCACTTGCCATGGTTGTTCTGGGACAGGAAGAGGCTGCAGAAGTCCCGCCTTTTTCTGCTTGCTGCTCTTCATCCGCTGACATGTATCACACGAGGTGATGAATTTCTGGACGTCGTCTGCCATATGGGGCCAGTAGTAGTGTTTGGCGATACCGGTGAGCGTCTTGTTGCTA